AAGAAGCTTTCATTTGAACAGTAAATCAAGGCCTCATAGCACCACAACCAACAGTAGTGGCAGTAAAACCAATAGCAAAGAATAACATAAGAAAGTAAGAACATACGAATAGCTAGATGCCGATAAGAAGGCTGAGTGATTGTTTTTGGTGCCCCCCCCACTGATGGAGATGGATTCCCATGCCAATTTTGAGGTCCTGTCTCTTGTTTTGCTCTTTCAGGTGTGGCAGCCATTTTGTACTCTGCCATGCTACTCCTGCAGCCATTTTGTGCCGAGTGCAAGTGGAGGACCTGAAAGATGGTGGCAGAACAGCCATCATGCTCAGTATTCTTCCAACAACTGATGCTATGCTTGAAGTCTTAACATGAGAATCAAGAGCCCTTACTTCTATAAGGATCCAAGGCTGGCCAAATGAGAGTGTAACAATATCAAGAAAAACCGTAACTGTGGTTTGTAGCCAATGTAGCGCTAGGTTAAAGTCACTTGGCACTACTGTATACTTGTTGCACCGGTGGAACATTGTTGTGTAAGGGGAAACCCAAGTACATTACTCAAGATTATTGTGCAACAAGAACCAACTGTTGCACTAGTTTCTGCTAGTGCAACTGTTACGCTGGATTCCTTTGCTGCAGAACCTTTAAACTCTGCCGTCCACATTAGCATAGACAGGTTGATGCCCACAATGAAATGATGGAAGTGGGCCAGGGAAAGGCACAGACCTGGCTTTCACATTGCACAAGAAGAATTATGATAGGAACAAAGTATTCGAAGGAGAGCTAAGAAGGCAGGAGAGGTTTGGTTCAGTTCCTGCTGGCTCCAGCAGGATTGGGAGCAAACATCCAGTCAGTTTCATTTCCCTCCATAGGTGGGGAGTGGGGAAGAGGGAACTTAGGAAACTGACCCCAAACAACAAATTTTATCAATTTTATGAGATGGAAGAGGTGAAAGATACTTCTTGGTTGGCTATTGGGAAATGGCTGCTTGAGTTACCATGCTTTATACAGTGGTACCTCGGGTTAAGTACTTAATTCGTTCTGGAGGTACGTTCTTAACCTGAAACTGTTCTTAACCTGAAGCACCACTTTAGCTAATGGGGCCTCCTGCTGCTGCCACACCGCCGGAGCACGATTTCTGTTCTCATCCTGAAGCAAAGTTCTTAACCCGAGGTACTATTTCTGGGTTAGCGGAGTCTGTAACCTGAAGCATATGTATCCTGAAGCGTATGTAACCCGAGGCACCACTGTATACATTAAAAAATTTCTATTCCACATTTTCATATAAAAGTTCAAGGCAGCTCTTTTCTACTGAATTGCTTCATGACGATGTTTCCTCGTGAGCCGAATTCTCTCTAGAACCGGGATGGGTGAATCTCAAGATGTTGTTGGACTACAACTCCCATCAGCCCCAGCCAGCACGACCAGCGGTCAAGGGATAATGTGTGTTGTAGTCCAACAAGATCTGAAGGGCCAGAGATGCCCCATCCCTAGCACAGAATATACTTTTTCAGCTTAGAAGCAAAGACCCACTTGCCTGGGTGGTGGCGGCAGCATTTTGGAAATGTAATGTGGTTAGCCAGAAAGAAACAGAGCTGAATTCTGCAGCTCACCTATAGTCAGCATAGTTCTGGAATTACAGAGCTCAGGCTGATACTTTCTTTAAAATGCAGACAGTTAAAGCCAGGCTTCCTCAACCTCGGCCCTCCAGATGTTTTGAGACTACAATTCCCATCATCCCTGACCACTGGTCCTGCTATCTAGGGATCATGGGAGTTGTAAGCCAAAAACATCTGGAGGGCTGAGGTTGAGGATGCCTGGGTAAAGCATTTTTCATGCGCATATCTGGCAGATTTGTAAGTTTGGGAAAGGACTGGGTCCAAAATAGAAATCCTAGTTCCACCTGTTGTAATAGCTCCAATAAAAAGGCAATTGCTGTAGGTGAATCAGGGACAATTCCTTCCTGGCCAGAATGGAGCAAGAATGGTGAGTGTGAGACATACCTTCTCTGCCTTTGAGATGTGTTTAAACTCAGCTGGTTGGGGATTGGGGGGGGGAGAAAATACACCTTGTCTGTATCTCTCTGACCGCCTGCTGTGATGGTTTTGTGAAATTATGGTGGGGTGGGGCTTTTGCCTGCATGTACCTGTCTCAGTAAATCCTGGGATCTGTAGCTTACCCTCCACAGAGCTACAATTCCCAGCAGCTTTAACAAGCTACAGTTTCCAGGATTCTTTAGGTGGGGACATGTGCTTGAAATATATGGTGCCTTAGTGCAGAGGTAACCTTTATAATGGGCAAGAAGACAGGAAAATAGTCCCCTGCTGCCTTACCCAGTTGAGGCAGTTGTGGTCAGTAGGGCATGGGTGTGGCTAGGCCTCTCCAGGTTCAGACCTGCAGCATGAGGATGGAGGAAGGGAAGGCTGGCTGTGAGTAGGTTAGGCCCTAGGCTGCTAGGTGGAAAAGCAGGTGGAAAGAGTAGGATCGGTAGGTTAAAGAGACTGGCAGGCAGATAATTGCCTTCCCCCAACTCTGCATCCCACAAGTAAATTTCTGCAGACTTTTAATGACTACTGTGAAGTTTGTGCATTACTGTAAGCGGTTGCACCACACATGTATGTTGTGAGGTTCCGCACAGCATTAATGCACATAGGTTGCACTGATTGCCAGAAATGTATTCTATCAGCGCAGGTTTGCCTGCTAGATGGCTCCATCACCTATTTGGTGATGTTGGTCCTTAAGTAGCAACTATGACCATTCCCATACAAAGAAACATGACTGGCTAGTTCAAAAAGAGAATCCTCCACTAGCTTTTAACCCTTCCTAGATCCAGGACCCCAGGAATTAGAAGGGACCCACCCAGGCATCATGAAGGCTAAGTTCCTGTTCCTCTCCCCGCCCCCAATGCACAACAGTATAGCAGTATATTTCTGTGTGTGCATACTGGAGGTTCAGTAGGAAGGAATGAAGGTGTCCGATCTGGCTGGAGGTGTGCATATCTGATGGGAATCAGTAGGTAGATTGAGGAGGATCATCAAGCACAGGCATGTTAAGAGTGCAAGTATATAATCAAAATACTTGCCCACAGATTTCTTGCTCTAGAAGTCATTTTAACTTCTATAAAGTAGCTTGCAGTACCTTTTATCATCAGCTGGGGTACCAACTGTTTACCTTCCTGGAGAGTGATAGCAATCTGTACTCTAGATTCTAGAAACATCCTTGCTGGATGATTGCCCTTGAAGACTGCCCAGAAACTGTCGCTGGTTGAAAATGTGACAGCAGCAGGACTGTTCACTGGCATTTAATGCTGCAAACATACTATGCCAGGACTTAAAGAGGTTCACTGGTTATCAGTCTGCATCCAGGCCTGATTATAGTTACTGACTTTGCCTTTTAAATCTTTAAATGGCTTGAGATCAGGGTATCCAAAGGACCACCTTCTCCAATGAGTCTACCTTGTTATGCTATCGGGAGGCTCTTCTCTGGCCTCCTGTACCTTCTGAACAGAAGTACGAGGGTACCAACTGGAGAATGGGTAGCACCACTGAAAATAACCCAACAGTGGAACTCCCTCCCAGCAGCCTTTGTTATTTAATGAGTGTCTGGCAAAGTTTGTCCTGCACTTGAGTTTTTAATGGCCTTTCATTGCTTTTATGATTCTGGCATTCCCCCTTGAATTAGATCTGTGTTTTCTTTGCTGCTTTTTTCCCTTGTCTTAATTTCAGAGGTGTTTATTTGTTTGTAAAGAAGAAAATACCTAGCAGTCTGGAGGCTTTGACAGTAGGATATAAATCTTGAAAACAGAACAGATCCTTCCATTTTGGTGCAAGTTTAGTAGCGAGTCGAGTTGCTTTACTGGATGAGATTTTGCATCCTGTTTCCTGTGGCAAGGGCATGAAAGCGACAGCCTCCCCTCGCCACCCACAACATTTAGTATATGGTGCCTTTGGAACATAGTTCCACCTTTTCTCTTGTGAAAGTGTGGGACCCTCTTCAGGTCATTCCTGCAGGCCCCAGGCTCCGTTCAGGATAGCTTTCTTCCTAGCCTCTGGAAAAAAACCACCCTGACCTAGAGCATCTGTGAAGCGCATCTGGTGGCTGCGGATTCCAAGACTGCTCAGTTGGTAAAGACACTCTTGACCTCAAGATCTTGGGTTCGAGGCCCACGATGGGCAAAAAGATTCCTGCACGGCAGGGGGTTGGACTAGATGACCCTCGAGGTCCCTTCCAACCAGAGGAGTACCTAGGCTCCTTTGCATTCTTGGCAAGGAGCTGTATCAGCACTCGCTCTGTCCCTTGCGCCAAAATACTGACCAGTCTGGGAAGTGGTGCCAACTTGAATAAAATATTTTGTATGTGTGTGCAGGTAATTGATCATGCACACCATTTGAACGGCAATTCCCATCAACTGGGAGGGGCAGCCCCCTCAAATATTTTTTGGGGGGCTGAATGGACCCCGGTCCCTAGGAGTTGACTCCTATGTGCCTGGGTACGACGCTGTAGGATGGAGCATGAGTCTGGGGTGCCAAATTTTAGGGTGCCGCAGAAATTTTGAGTGCCCAAAGCCGGTCACTGCTCCAAGCCAGAGCAGAGGGGTGTGATTTCTGCGCACCCCCCTGGACTGGCACCCTTGCTGGGGGGCCAGCCCCTAGGTATGCTCCAGGGGTGTCAACTTGAATAAAATATTGGGGGGGTAGGGTGGGAAGCCCCACCTCACATAATCGAACACATGACACTATCTGAATGGGAATTCCCCTCGAAAAATTTTTTGGGTGAGGGGAGCGTCGAAGCCCCCTTAGCCCTAGGCTCCTATGATAAGTTGACGACGACTCTGGACACTTATAATGGGGTGATGGAACCGGCGTGAGGCGCCCAGGCGGAAGATGGTTCCGCCGAGGGCGCCCATGGCCGTGTGCGCGCTGCTGTATTATGTGCGGCGTGAGGGGCCGAGAGGTGTAAACCGCCACCAGGGAGGAGGAGGAGGGCCTTGTTGCCCTCTCTCTCTCTCTCTGCCGAGTGTGTGTTTGGGAGAGCGGGTGATGTAAGTAGCCGCTCTCTGAGGAAGGCCAAAGAGGGCGCGTCGCTGGCGGCGCTACGGCCTGCTGCTCTGAGGAAGGAGAGGCGGCGGCAGGAGGAGGAGCAGGTGCCCATGCCGGCTTGCGAAAGTGCCTCCTTCCCTCTCGCAGGCGGGCTGCGGGTGCCGACGCTGCCGCGGGGCGGCAACAAGCCCCCCCCCCCCGGCCATTTGCCCGCCAACGGCGGCAGCGGCGTTGTGTGTGCCTGACCCCTCCCGGCAGGGGAGCAGCTTAGGCTGGCGGAGAGGCTTCCCCTTCCTCGCCCCCGCCTCACAGTGGCTCCTGCCGCCGCCGCCGCTCTGAGGCGACGCAGTGCAGAGGTGCGGGCAGGTTGCTCCGGCCCGAGCCGCGGCTTCTCCTCCTCTCGCTTGGAGGGCGCGGGAGCCCCTTTCCTCCTCCCCGCGACGCCCCACGGAGACTCCCCCCACCTCCGCCGCGTCCCCGCGCGTGGGGCCGCCGCTGCCCTGCCCTTCCCGCGGCGCCCCACCCCCGGCCATGACCACGGCGGCGGCGGCGGCGGAGGAGACGACGGCGTCGCAGCAGCAGCGGCGGCGGCTCCTGGTCCTCTCCGCGTCGCCCCCCCTCTCCGCCGCCTCCTTCTCCTTCTCCTCCGCCGCGCCGCCTCTTCCTCTCCCCCAAGTGCTGCTGCCCCCGGCGGCTGCCGCCGGGCTCCAGGAAAGTAGCTTGATGAGTGTCCAAAGTAGCAGTGGAAGTTTGGAGGGGCCGCCATCTTGGTCCCGGCTCTCCTCCACGTCCCCACCGAGCCTGCAGGGCTGCTCCGCGGCGGCGGCGGCGGCGGCAGCGGCGGCAGCAGCAGCGGCGACGGCAGCGGCCGTGGCGGCCTCAGCGGCGGCGGCGGCCTCCCTGCTCCGCAGCGGCGCGCCGCTCAAAGAAGGTAAACAGCGAGAGACCGGGCAGGGGGAAGGTGCTTCTCGGGGCCTCTCCTCGGCCGCCGGGGGGTGGAGAGGGGAGGGAGATGACGGGCTCGGCGGCGGTGGGGGAAACGGGCCCTTGGGGAGGGAGGGGCACGGCCGTGTCAGTAGCGGCGGCGGTGGCAGCAGCAGCAGCAGCAGCCGCCTCAGCAGCAGCCGCCTGAGGCCAGTCCCAGGCTTTGCGGGGCCGAGTGCGCGGCGAGGGCAAAGGGAGCAGAGACGAGGCGAGACATGTCTTCCTTCTCTTCTGCATCCGACGGAGGAAGAAGGTCTGGGCGCCCCTTATCTCTTTCTCCCGAAGTCGGGGGGGGCCCTGAAACCTTCCCCCCCCCCAGCCTTCTCGCACAAACTCAAGCCTCCCAACCCTTAATCTGTTTTATTTATTCGAGGCACCCCCCTCTTACCCCCAAAAATGTCGCCTTGAATTCCTCCCACCCCCGCCGCCGTTTACAGTAGCTGCTGCTGGGAGGGGAGGGAGGTGGATGTTCATAATGTTTTCCTAGTTCCACGGCGAATCGATCTCTTTAACATCGATCTCTTTTCTCCTCTTTGTTTTTAAATGGCTTATTTTTTTATTTTTAGAGATGAAAATATTTCGTAGGTTTCCTTTCCTCGGGAGATGGTTAATGCTTTCCTTCCTATTGTAAAGTGGGGTTTTATGACTGGGAAGGAAGAGAAGCGGGTGCTCCTTTTATATATCTATCTGTAGATCTATATATAAAAATATAGATATGTAATTTCCTGGCTTTTCCTGGTTGCTTATGATGATGAACGTGGCTGTTTTGCTTAAAATGAAGAAGAAGGAGGAAAAAAGGGTCGAGTCGCTTTTGGCATCATGGAGGTAGGATGGTGGAAAAGAGACAAAGATCGAGGCACTTATTTGATACAAGAAAGACACTTTCTTCAGCCATTGGCTTCCGACAAAAGTGACGGAGACACGTTAAAAGCCAGTACAGAATGACTGCAACTTTCTCCTTTTCCTCCATGGCATCTTGGATGGTTCCCCCCCCCCTTCCCTCCCCCTTTCTCCCACCCCTCTTGTATTAGAACGACAGTGAGAGAGAGCAGGGTGTTGTGGGTGTTTTGCAGAGAATATCTGTATGAAGGTTATGTGCAAACAAGTCTTTTTTATTGTTTGTCCTTTCCTACCCCCCCTTGTTCCTTGCATTAAACTATGTAGCCACAAGATGTAGCAATTATACAGTTTATGAAATGATTAAAGCTCTCTTATTTTACTCGAGATTATGGTTAGCGAGGGAGAGAGGGGAACTTTCATACAACATATGGTATTCTGGAAGAATGAATATTGCATATTCATGATTTTTGAAATGCGATTGCTCTTTGACTATAGTGCTTATCTCAGGGTATTGAATGGCTCTTGCCTTTTGTTTTCATTGTGGGGGGAGGCTTGGGTTCCCCTCCCCCTTTGCTTAAGCACTTGCTGGGCAGCATTAACTTTCCATATGAAAAATGTTAAGATTTTTGAGAAATTAGATGCTGCCAATCTAGAAGACACCTCACATGTCAGGAATATCATTATCAGCAAACATTTTTAAAGATTTCATTTTAAAATGCTTAGAGCCGTGGAAATATATAGTGGAAGTGTTTGCTCTCTTTCTCCATTCCAGTACTCAGACTTGCATCACTCGTTGTCACTTTTGCACACGTTCCTAGATAGGAAGCTGACAATAGGAAGCTCAGATTGGCATGAAAACCAATACCTGAAATGGTTGGATATACAGTACAGCATATGTTAAAAACACTGATGTGGTAGGCATTTTGGTTGTGGCCATTACTTTGGGAAACTTAAGCTCAAGGGAGAAGAGACAAAGTTTTATATGTGAACCAAGTTTATTAAGCTACTTGCTTTCAGATATTGTTTAACACCAGTAGTGTGTACTACCTATTTATTTAAAATACTAGGTCAGTATTTTGAGACTATGTTGTAAAAATCTGATTGGAAGTTTTTTGTTAAAGCTGCTTCAAATATATGAGTAGAAAAAATGCTCATTTTAGAGGTTATATAGCAGCTAAAGTCCAGTAGAAACTCTTAGATTGGGTAGAACAGATTGTCATTTATTTACTGTGCTGAGGTGTCAGTCTGTGGTTTGTTAATTCAGCTTACAAGGCCACCAAGGAATGCAATTGGTTTAATACTGTTTTAGAAAGCAAATTTGTATTTGATTTTTTAACTCAATGGGAAGCAAGATGGTATTCAGTAAAACTGAGAATTTGTATGTCACATGAAAAGTTTAATCCAGCTTCCCACAACCTTCAGCACTTGTTATAAAACTGTGTGTTCTCTTGTTGTATTTGTTTTGGCTGCCTGATTTTATGTTGTAACCTCTAAAACAGAGCACCTCCAAAGAGAGAACTTTTTGCTTTACTGTATGAGAGCATGTGTAAATGTAGTACTTTCTGGCTGTATAGTAGGGATGTAGGATCTCAAATTTTCTGCCTTCACTTTTAAAGCACCTGGAAAAATGTACAGTTATGGCAAAACATGGACAAAGGCTCAGAATCTTAATATATGTGCGGATTTCTAATTTGCTAAGCCAGTGTTTCGTTTGAAGTGTTTGTCATCTTAATCTAGACAGTTGTCATTCATTGGAGTGCACTAGTTCAGCCTAGTTTGGAAGATGCAAACCCCTGAGAAATATTTTCATGTGTTTCTCAACAGAAGACTATCTTCTTGAAAATGAAATACTTAATAAGGTACAGAGTTAAAGATTTCCTAGTAATTGAAACTGAATTTGAAGCCTTCACATTATCAAAAGGACTGTCATTGTCTGAATTACGTGACTCCATTGTTGAATAATCTCTGAGTATGTACAACAACTGCTCAAGATGGAGTTGATTGTTGTGTAATCATGATAAAGGCAGAATAACAAAGTTCATCATTTAGAATCTACTCTGAGTTGTCTGAAATAGATAAACTTTGTGCATCTTGTTTAATGTGCGTTTTGATTAATACAGATTTTAGCAGTATAGTTGGTGCCCACCTTGTATAAAAATCCTATGCATGTTTAATCGGAATTAAGTCCCAATAGTTTCAGTGGGACTTCATGTTGCAATCGTAATGCAAACTTACCTGAGAGTGCCAGGTAGCTGCAAAACACTGTAAGAACTGCTGTGTGTCTTACACTGGAAGTGACATCACAAGATAAGAACAGTAAGTCCCCTAGTAAGCAATAGAACATGATAGCATATTTTATGTGACATAAATTTTGTTTACAAGTAAACAAATATGAAAAATAGTTCGAGCTTGCTGAAGTTCACTTTTTAATGTATGTCTTTTGGTGCTGAGTAAGACTTCTAGCTCTATGCTTGGTGTAAGCAGACAGTGGCTAGAAATGTGTTTTACTGTTCTGAGACTTCCAAAAATTTCTTAGTACCTTGTGACGCAACTGCATGTTACTTGCTTAATTTTCAGGTAAACCTTGGCTACTTATTTCCAAGTTACCCATGGAAGATGCTTATGTTCATTTACAGTAGGGTTTACCGGTATATTTTTGTTTGGATCGCTGCAGGGCAGACTATCCCATTAACTTCAATGAAAACACTACACAGTAAGCTGTAGTCTTTTAAGGTTACAATCCTAAGCACACATACTATGAAGCAAGACTCACTGAATACACAGGATTCAACTTCTGAGTAAACATGCCTAGGTTTGCACTGTAAGTGTGATATGTTATCCACTGGTACTTTTTTCTTGTTGCCCAGTCTTATGATTTAGTTGCTGTTGAAGACAGTGCTAATATTTCTTTATTGTATGTGGTATATCTTCTGTCTTGGTAACAAATATGTTCCCACTTTCTTGAGAAATGATACCAGTTCTCAGACCTGATCATAATTGGTATCTGAGTATCAAGGTTCTCTGTAATCCCTGCAAGCAAGACTTGGGTTGGGGTGAGAGAATGCAAATAGTACCTGACTTGAAGATACCATTGCTCTAGCGCAGAGATTCTCAAAACTGTGTCCATCATATCCATTCAGGTATTCCATGGGAAGGTTGTAGAACAGTAAAGAAATATCCACATTTGATCTCTCCCCCCACCCCCTGGACTTGAGATCAAGGCCATTCTGACTTGGGCCCGATTATCAAAGGGGCAAAAATATCCCCAGGCTAGGTCAAATGTTTTTGTAATGCAACTGGTTTTGACAATGATGCTGGTATAGAAGGAAAAAAGTTTTCCCTTCATATTCATTGTGTTAGACCATGGTTGTTAAAATATGTATGTGCTTTGATTAGTAGAATATTAATGGTATCCTGAGACCCCTGCCAATTTTCAAGTGATCTGTGGAGGAAAAAAGTTTGAGAACTGCTGTTCCAGAGGTATTGGCCCCCTGCCTTTCTATCTGCAAGCTGTTAAACTGCTAAGACTTAGTGGTGGTAGAAGCATGTCCCTCTTAAAAATTAATTGGTGCTTCATGTTTGGGACATGAACTTAATTCATTGCATGGGCCGCTATTGCTCGTATCAAAACAAAACAATAACTTACAAAAAGGTTATCTTTGGGATAAGGTGGGCTTGTGAATAAAACTCACATTGACAGAGAGGCTTAGTTTTCTAACAAGTAGATAATACGTGTTTAATAACTAGTTCAGGCTCTTCTTGCATAACTGTTCCGAAATACTTTCTTACGCCAATGATGGAAATGAAATGGGTTCTAGAGTATGTGCATAAAAATACCCTATTAAAACCGAGATGACCATTACCTTGACTTGAGGTAACTTGAATGGGGAAATAAACAAATCCTCTTGAAGTATTTTTAGATTTGTGTAGGAAGTACTCAAATTGTCCTTTTTTAATTAAAAAAAAAAAAGGAATGAGGTGAGTTTTCCCTCTGACAATGATGCTCAAGTTTCCAGAGGAAGGTCAAGCAATTTATTTTTGATTAAGTTCTAAGCAGCTGCTTTCTGCACTTAAATTAACTGCAAGAACTTGACTTTCACATTTTAATTGAAGTCTGGAAGAATTATCTGATTCATACAAGTCCAAAGCTCTTCTATGTGATAGCCTCTCTTTATCTTATTTTGAAAACTCTTGATGCCTCAGCTGTTCCTGGAAAAGCTATACACCTTGAAAGCTGTATTACTGTTTCTTTACTGAAATTCCAAATGTTAAAGTTGTCTGACTTACGGTAATCAAGAAGTCTGACCTTTCCAATTCACCAAACCAAAGTGAATTGTAGCTGGCCATGTTTACTTAACAAAACTTAGTTTGATGTAGGTCATATGTTAGTTTGCCTCCCTAGGTTTCAGCAATGCCAAACTCAGAAATGGCCTCTCCATTACAGATGTTGTTGGCATCTATATTTCTCAGGAGGCAATGGAAGTGAAGTCAAACAGTTGGAAACGGGGGGGGGGGGGGGTGAAGTCAAATTGTTGGAAAGTTGCAGTGTCTGCTTTGGCTGCAGAGACTGATATGGGAGAGCCATGTTTTGTTGCGGCTGGGGCAGAGGAAAGCTTTCAGTTGTGCTGCTGCAGATGCACCGTGGTGTTTCTTCTCTCTGCGCTCTTCCTAGCGGTCATTCCTCATCTGGCCAATACTATGGATATGACCTGTCAGTCTCCAGGCACTGTGGTTGTCTGCAAGAGATGTTGCCAGCCTTCATGTCACCTTACAGATACTAACTCACATTGCAAAACCCTTTAGTAATTCAGTTAGGAACTATTGTCCAGCACACTAAAACTAATGTTAGAGAAAGTATTAGTCATCAGTATTACTGTATAGTTGTTAATGCAGGCTATACCACCTGAGTATCATTGCTGTGTTGGTGTTTCTGATAATATGCTACTCAAATAGAAACCTATTATGTGCATTGCACTTAGTAAATGTAATAATAAATAATAATAATAATAATAATAATAATAAATTTAATAATAAATTTATTACTTATACTCCACCCATCTGGCCAGGCCTCCCCAGCCACTCTGGGCGGCTTCCAACAGGATTGTTAAAAACGCAATAAAACATTAAGAACTTCCCTAAACAGGGCTGCCTTCAGATGTCTTCTAAAAGTCAGATAGTTGTTTATTTCCTTGACATCTAATGGGAGGGCGCCACTACCAAGAAGGCCCTCTGCCTGGTTCCCTGTAACTTGGCTTCTTGCAGTGAGGGAACCGCCAGAAGGCCCTCGGAGCTGGACCTCAGTGTCTGGGCTGAACGATGGGGTTGGAGACACTACTTCAAGTATACTGGGCCGAGGCCATTTAGGGCTTTAAAGGTCAGCACCAACACTTTGGATTGTGCTCAGAAACGTACTGGGAAAGTGGCCCAGTTTAGATGTCTTGGGCTTTAGGAAGATGCTTTATTATGTGCTCAGATTCCCTCCTGCAGTTTCTGGTAGTTATAGTTTGATATCATAACTAGAACAGAAGTCACTACTTGGAAAGGATTTCTCATGTTGGTTTGGAGGCAAGTTATTGATTGCAGAACCAAAGTTTCCCTGATTTGGATAGCTACTGCAGGCTACACATGACACAGGTAGCGTGGCAAGGAAGTGGAGGAAGCCAGTGTGAAATCAAAGCATGTTGCCCAACCATGGTTGTGATGTAATGTCTGAACTGAATCAGTGGACTGGTTTGTATGTACCGTTAGGCCATGCCTAATAAAATGTGAGCTGTTCCCAAATCAAAACAAACCATGTCTTGTACCGTAAAAACTGGGTTGGTTTTCCAGCTGCTTTTGTCTTGTGCTTTTGTAGCTTGATAATCATGTGGGTATGGTCATCCTAGAAAACGTTTTTAAAAATGACATTGGAAGTTAGAAGAGGTAGAGAACTATCCCATAAAACTGGCAATTTAGTATGGAATGGAAAAGGGTTGTATTACACTGAAACTCACATAATAGTGTAATGGAATATTTTCTATCCCAAGCCAATTCAAATGTCTATTGATGTGGTAAAATGTTACAAAACAAAGCCATGCTATGTCAAGAGGACACTTATTTTCCTCCCCTGGATAGTGTTTGCTTGAACAGCAGCATGGGCATATCTATCTATTTTATCGCATCCAATTGGGAGGGATAGTCAATGCCACTAAAAATGGAATGAGGATTCAAATTGACTTTAACAGATTAGAGGTCTGGGCCCAAACTACCAAAATGAATTTCAATAGGGACAAATGTAGGATTCTGCACTTAGGCAGGAAGAACCAGCTGCACAAATATAAGAAGGGGACACCTGGCTTGCCAGTAGTGCATGTAAAAAGGAGCTAGGGGCTTAACTTGAAGCCACAGGCTTAACTTGAATCAACAGTGTGTTGCAGCAGCAAAAAAAGCTAATGCTATTCTAGGCTGCCTCAGTAGAAGTATAGGTGTTCTGATCAAGGAGATAAGAGCTATTTGACAGTGGAACAGACTTCCTCAGAAGGTGGTGGACTTGCCTTGCTTGGAGGTTTTTTAGGTAGAGGTTGGATAGCCATGTCATGGATGCTTTAGTTGAGATTCCTGCATAGCAAGGGGTTGGGCTAGGTGACCCCCAGGTTCCCTTCCAACTTTACAATTCTATGATTCTGTTATATCCTTTGAGGGAAAGGTGTGATTAATAATAAAAATGAATATAACTGTTCCTGTGTCTCATTGAAACACTACCTATTTACTTAATGGTTCTCTATAGTGGTGCCCAACCACTGTAACTAAATTTTGAGGCCTTGCCCAGTGATTCATTGCTTCCTTTATTCCCACTCCCTTTTGCAGGTGAGGTGGGGCCTCTGTCTCTCAGTCAATCTCTGTCTGGCTCTTTTAATGAATCTGTAATTGACTTGTTGAAGATTTTGCAGGCTGATAAGAGATTTATGTAGGTTATGGTAACTGCATCTGCACATCACAATAAAGCATGGTGCCAGGCCTATCATGGTTTTATTATGAATGGGCGGCCTGCAGATTCTTGCTGCCTGATTGTTCTAGTTTCATTCCTTCCCTGGTGCAAGTGGGAGAAACAGAGGACAGAATTCACCGAACAAACCCTGTTGGGGGGCTTCTGCTTTCCACCATCTCCCCCTGCATGGACCCCCATGTAGCCCCTGAAACTGGTACTAGAGGGATCAGGAGAACCCCCAAAACAGCACATGGGGGGGGGGAGATTGTTCTATTTGGCAAGCTGATAAGTGTTGGATTCCACCCAAAGTCTGGAAGCAACAATTAAACTCTGCTTCCTGTTAATATCCAGACATCATGGTTGGTTGCTTCCTAACAAGCCCATGGTTGATAACCAGCCTTGAAACCATGGTCTGTAGATTTAGGAATTATGACTTGTTAGGAAGCAGCAAACCATGTCAATGCAGAAACCATAGTTTATTGCAGTAAGAAAGCAGAGCCATTGTCATAGGAAAAAATAAAAGTGTGTTAAATATTGATTATTGTATATATAGAGTGTAGAATCATAGAATCTTAGAGCTGGACGGGACCCAAGGGTCATCTAGTCTAACCCTCTGCAATGCAGGAATCTCAGCTAAAGCATCCATGACAGATGGCCATCCAACCTCTGCTTAAAAACCTCCAGGGAAGGAGAGTCCACCACCTCTCGTGGGAGTCTGTTCCACTGCTGAACAGCTCTTACTGTCAGAAAGTTTTTCCGAAAGTTTAGCCGGAATCTCCTTTCTTGTAACCTGAACCGTCTAACATACAATTATTGGGTACAGAAACTAAGTAGCATTATATATGTCGCTTGATAAGTTTGAAGCCTGAGAGCTGTTTTTATTGCTAGTGTATTGAAGTGATTGGGAAGAAATGCACTGTAATTCTCTGTGTGAATTAAATTTCAATTTCAAGTGTGCTTGAATAATTTTCTGCTGTTTTCTAGTACTGTGACTTATAAGAATTACATAGTTCAACAGCTACATACCAAATACAATGTTTATTGTCCATTGATGTCTGTTGCGATGAGTTATACTGCTGGTGTGTGCCTTTAACTGTTCAGTTGTAATAATCTTTGCTGGACTGCCACAGGTGTGATCCAAAGTAGTTTGAAATGTGAAAAAATTAGAACCAATAAAATGTTCCTGATCCTACTTTGGCTAGTGTCTTTGTACCATTTGCATGCATAATACAGCATACTGATGACTTCTTTTTCCCCTCTGTGACAAATGTCCACCCAGCCATTCATTTAAAACTTACTGTATGCTAGACATTGACATAGTCAGTGTAAACTACCGGTAATTCACACTAAGTCACAGAATTATTGAAAGATGTCTGAAGGAACCAGTTTCAAAAAGTTCCCTAAATATGTATTTAAGAGTGACTAATTTCTTCATGTACTGTGATTCATCTATTTTTTTGTTTAAAATCACAATTACATGTTTGTTCCTAGTGTTAAGTTGTATAAAGGTTACTGTAACTTGAATGCATCTTCTGTTTTTCTTACTTAGTAACATATTAAGATTTGTCATAATATAGAACAATAGCAGAAATGAAAAGGGGCTATAAATAAAATGACTAAAAAACTACATTTTGAAATTAATATATTGGCTTACATCCTAATTATTTGATCCATGAGTAGGAAAATAATGCTTTTAAAGAAATTTTCAACAAAACATTGGTATCATTGGACCTTTGGGGGTTAAACATGATGACCAGGAATAAAATGCATGTTCATATCATATCAACATCTCAGTTAACATTTCAGTCCATTACTTTGGAAAATGTTGGAACTGAAGATTCTGCTATCTCCTTGTAACACAGTTTCTTTGGGATGCATTCTGTTTGATTATCTCAACACTCTAAATATAGTTAAATGAATACTACCCTTTTCAGCAGTTAAGCTCTTTTGCAATGTATAGATTAGTTTGTATCACTTGCAGTTTGGATTAATATAGATCAAGTGATACATAACTGACCAAACTAAAATTTCTCACTTTTATTTGGTATTGGGTGCTGCTTTACTGAAGCTTCATTTTTTCTTTTCAACAACATGTGACCACTGCTTCTTGGAAATTTCATTTTCTAGCTGAAGAAACCATTTTGCAAAGTTTTGGAGAAATGGTTCCAACCCATTCTAGAATTTGTTGAAAGCAGTTATTACACATTTTGGTTAACACAGAGTTGAGTCCAATAGCTAGACACTTCTGCTGACGGAAGGAGATGATGGGTGGCGAGAGAGGGAGAGGTGGCTTTTGCTGATGTCTCTTACAGCTCCTAAAAATCTGCTCCAGACTCGCAGGCATGTCCAGAGTTTGTTTCGGGGGCCTAATCTGGCCCACCAGTCAATTCAATCTGGCCCCCATGGCAGTATATGTTCTGGGGTAAAATCCTTAAAGAAGCTCAACAACTTCGGTTGGCCCTCACTTATGTTTACGTTATCAAATCTGGCCCTCTTTGAAAAAAGTTTGGGCACTCTTGCGAGGGTTGGCAGACCCTCCAGAACAAGGTGTGAGGTGGCACAAGGGGCTGCAGGGGGAAGGGAGAACTGGTAAAAGCAACTCCCCCCCCCCTTTCCTCTACCAGGAACGTTTGCTGGATCTGATTGACTTCCACAAATGGAAGGAGCTTTTCTCTTCACAGAACACCAGGTCTGGATCCAACCCATTGTATAGAGATTCTGGTAGTTCTGGGCTGGTTAGTGACTTTAGCTGCTGGTATTACATTTGTTTACATTTGATTCACATCTTTCAGGTGTGTTAAAATCAAGGAAATGCCTAACCTTTTAATGTGGATGGGTGGGCAGGTACAGGGAGGTAGCTAATCATACAGTTGTGACCATGATTGCTGTTGGGATGTGAGTTTGTCATCTGTGGTCAGTTAACCACAGCATGACTACTACTCCCACACTGACCAGTTCATTTACAAGGATATGAAATTCTGTTTGACATCTTTTTAAATGGTTCATGGGAATTAAATCCTTGCATCCTCCTGAATGGCACTGGCATGGAAAAGTTGATTATATTGAATAGTGCCTACTGCTTTTGTAAACTTTAGAAAATGATGCATATGATGATGCCAGGTATATATTGGTGCTTTTGAATGTGTTCAAGTGTAGTGTGACATACTGATCAGTTTTGGGTTTAGTTTCAATTTTAAATGCTAGAATGGAGTTGTCATAATCAAGGTTGTTGTTGTTTAGTCGTTTAGTCGTGTCCAACTCTTCGTGACCCCATGGACCAGAGCACGCCAGGCACTCCTGTCTTCCACTGCCTCCCGCAGTTTGGTCAGACTCATGTTTGTAGCTTCGAGAACACTGTCCAACCATCTCGTCCTCTGTCGTCCCCTTCTCCTTGTGCCCTCCATCTTTCCCAACGTCAGGGTCTTTTCCAGGGAGTCTTCTCTTCTCATGAGGTGGCCAAAGTATTGGAGCCTCAGCTTCAGGATCTGTCCTTTCAGTGAGCACTCAGGGCTGATTTCCTTCAGAATGGATAGGTTTGATCTTCTTGCAGTCCATGGGACTCTCAAGAGTCTCCTCCAGCACCAGAATTCAAAAGCATCAGTTCTTCGGCGATCAGCCTTCTTGATGGTCCAGCTCTCACTTCCATACATCACTGCTGGGAAAACCATGGCTTTAACTATACGGACCTTTGTTGGCAAGGTGATGTCTCTGCTTTTTAGGATGCTGTCTAGGTTTGTCATCGCCTTTCTCCCAAGGAGCAGGCGTCTTTTAATTTCGTGACTGCTGTCACCATCTGCAGTTATAATCAAGGTACTTCTTGATTATTGAAAATAATTTGTATACTTTGTTGTTCAAAATTGTATTGGTTAGAAATAAGAGAAAAGGCTTTTAGCAAGTAGAAAGAACTCGCATCCAGAATTCTTTCTTAAGTAATCTGTTACTCTTCCACTTCTGACAAATTGAGTTCTACATAACTCAAAGGCTTGCATATTCTTATACAATAGAAACCATCAGTTTTCATATATCTATAAAAAATGAAATTAATGTGGCAGCAATTGTTCCTATTCCCTGGAGAGAGAACCCAGTATAAAATTCCTGAATTAGAATGTGTTTTTTAAATGTGACACTGTGAAATTTCGTCTCCCTAGGAAAGTGTAGCTTCTACAGAAAATTGTTGTCTCTAATTATTGTTATATTACTGAATTGTGGTTATTCAGTATCGCTATAATCAGGAGTGGCTGGATTCTGGTTTTGAGTTGTGTTCTACATAGCACTCTAACAGACCTAATGCTGTATCTTGTAATTGACTGATTTTGGTATCATTTTGTGTAAAATATATTTTTATTTCTCTTTACTTGGTTTTCAGTCACTTGATGGAAGTACTCTTTGACCCTTGGAAGCTTATGCCAAATTAAGTTTAATTTAATAATACTATTTAGTTAAACATTACTATTAGCTATTTAGTTTTGATTCTGCAATTTAAATTTGTGTGTGTTTCTGTGCTCCCCAGATTATTTAGTAAGCCTGGTTCTAACTACTCAAATATTTGGTGCATCTTGAAAGAGTCAAAGGATATGACTGTCATAAAAGAACATTGTGATGTCAGCACATTAAAGTCTATTGCCCAATGTATATTTCAGTGAAGGGAATTCATCATCATTGTGATAGTTGTCTACAGGTATGCTGTTTTATTGTGCTGTTAAGTTTTTCTAAAATGCAAGTTCTATTAGACTAATACACATGCTAAATGCCATCAAAGTGAGGTTAGTGTACAGCATTTTTGAAGTTTTATATGTTCATTTCTCAAGCTTGAAAAAGTCTAGTTCTAACATATACTTCTGGGCCATATTGAAGTTAAACACGTTGACTGGTATTTTAAATGCTGTTTATGTAGTACCAGATGTGGACATGCTTTATAAAGCAACACATTTAAAATAGGCCCTTGTCTTGAAGCTTACACTATGAGTGAAGCAACAGGAAGATGGGGACAAGGGTAACAGAATAGGAATAAGAATTCTTACTTTAAAACATTAGTTAGATTCTACCTGAAATACCAGAACATTGTTGCTTGATTCAGATGTAATATCAAACTGGTTTGTCCAGGAGTGCCTTTCATGGCATATGGGATCCCCCTTCCACTCTTGCAAGCTGGTTGCACCATAAATTATTTTCCCTTCTTCCCTAGCTGTTGTTTGCATTGTGTATGCAAACTGGATTTGGGAGGCTAGCAGTATGTAAAGTTTGCCAGTTTGGGCATCATAGAAAAATGATGCTTAGTGGAAACTGAAGCAAGGGAAGGAATAATTGTATCTCTGGGGGTACTCTGGACCATGGTTGTACAATGTGCCTCATGTAATCAGGTGTTTGCAGCAAGTCTGCAGCAAGTCAGGGCCAGTTGGTGAAATCTGTTGGTTCTCCTCTTGTGTATGCATGCAGGTGTCTCATATAATCTGTACTGATTATATGGGAATCTCTCTGTTCTTGATTATTCTTGACATTATTATGGAAGTTTTAAATAAGGAGTTGAAAATCCGAAAAGCATCAGTGTGGTTCTCAAATCTGTGCTTTAAAAAAATAAGGTTTTAAAAGGATTTGGGGTGGATAGGTCACTAGAATATTATGAAAAGCTATGATGTGCAGTTTTTTGTACGATTCCTAAAAAAAGCATATAATTATTTTGAGGTGAATCAAAATGTGGGTATAATATGGAATTAATATGTTTGCAATGTAGACTTTGCATTGCTGGCTATATTAGCTGCCTTGGAATGTATTGAGGCTTTCTGTAAGCTGAGCTTGGTTTAAGAATCCAAGTTATACTGTAGTTGGTGGCATCAATCAACAATCATTCATAAGTAAAGGGGGGTTTGCGTATAAAATTTGTCAATCATCTAAAAAGATAAGTGCAGAAGAATAATACAGAATTTATAAATGTGACCACAGGTGGCATGCAAGAAGGTGTGCAACTGTGTTGAGCTGTACCCTGATTGTTGTCTCATTTTAAGCTTTTCTAGGAGGCAGAGCTGTTCAGGAGTTTTGTAAGCTCCCTTGAATGCCATTTTGGCAGAAAGGCAGGGGATAAAATAAAGTACAAATGATAAAATATCAGAGTTTCTATGCATGGCAGAGGGTTCCTGAACTCAGGCCTTGCTCTACTTCTTGTTACATATTTGCAGAACAAATGTCTCAAACCAGGAACACATTAAGTTGTCAGAACACAATTTGCTTTAAAATAAAAAATACAAAATTTGTCTGGCTTCAAATATCTCTTTTGGAGAATGATAAATTATTATTAGTGTCCTGCCGCCCAGTTTCGAATCTTTCATACCTGGGTAATGTAATTGAGAGAGCTGAACAGCTTGGTAGGTTTCTGGAGGAAACATCAGCTTTGGATCCATTCCAGTCCGGCTTTCACCCTGGTTACGGGACCGAGACAGCTCTGGTCGCCCTAACAGATGCTCTCTGTAGACAACTGGACCGAGGCGGGTTGGGACTGCTGATTCTTTTAGACTTGTCAGCAGCCTTCGACATGGTTGATCACAATCTTTTGGACCACTGCCTTGCCGACGTGGGGATTCAGGGCACAGTCCAACAATGGCTGCGTTCCTTTATCTCAGGTCGGGGACAGAGGGTGGCGCTACGGAAGGAGATGTCGTCACGGCATCCCTTGGTGTGTGGAGTGCCGAAGGGTGCAATCCTTTCCCCGATGCTTTTTAACATCTTTATGTGCCCCCTTGCCCAGATTGTCCGGAGTTTCGGGCTGGGTTGTCATCAATATGCTGATGACACCCAGCTCTATCTGTCGATGGATGGCCATCCTGAATCGGCCCTGGACACACTGACCAGATGTCTGGAAGCTGTGGCTGGATGGCTGTGTGGGAGCCGGTTGAAGTTAAACCCTTCGAAGACGGAGGTCCTCTGGCTGGGTTGGGACGGCATGGGGTTGGGGGGCCAACTCCCATCTCTTGCGGGGGCTCAACTTGTGCCAGTGCCTTCTGTCAAGTGTTTGGGTGTAACCTTTGATGCCTCCTTCTCCATGGAGCCGCAGGTTGCAGCTACTGCAAAGGCGGCATTTTTCCATCACCGCCATATTAAACAGTTGGTCCCTTACCTTTCCCGCCCTGATCTGGCCACAGTGATCCATGCAACAGTCACCTCCAGGCTTGATTACTGTAACTCCCTCTACGCGGGGCTGCCCTTGAAGTTGTCCCAGAAACTCCAGTGGGTGCTGAATGCCGCGGCGAGGCTCCTTACGGGGTCCTTGCCGCGGGACCGCATTCACTCAGTGGTTTTCCAGCTTCAGTGGCTCCCGGTAGAGTATAGGGTCAGGTTTAAGGTGCTGGTTTTGACCTCTAAAGCCCTTTGCGGCCTAGGACCCTCATACCTACTGCACCGCCTCTCCTGGTATGCCCCGTGGAGGATCTTAAGGTCCATAAATAGCAATACCCTAGAGGTCCTGGGCCGTAAGGAAGTCAGATTAGCCTTAACCAGGGCCAGGGCCTTTTCAACACTGGCTCCGGCCTGGTGGAACTCTCTGTCTCATGAGACCAGGGCCCTGCGGGATCTGATTTCTTTCCGCAGGGCCTGTAAAACAAAGTTGTTCCACCTGGCCTTTGGCTTGGAATCAGCCTGATCCCCTCCCCTCTTTCCTTTTCTTTCTGTGATGGAACCCCTATTTGGGGACTTCCCTGGCCTTTCTGGCCCACGTAGGACCAGTCTGGATAGTTGGCCTTGGTGAAGATTTGACGTTTTCTCCCCCCAAACAGTTTTTGATCTGGGCTTCCACTGAAATGAGGCTGCATTTTAAGTTATATTTTAATCTTGTTTTTAAGTTGTATTTTAATCAATTGTTTTTATACCTGATGTTAGCCGCCCTGAGCCCGGTCTTGGCTGGGGAGGGTGGGGCATAAAAATAAATAAATAAATAAAATTCAGATATTATGCATATGGAACTGTGTTTAAATTATCCAGATGGTCACTATAGGTGTCATTGTATATGTTGTCCACAAAGTTCAAAAGATTGTTTTCCTCCTGTTGATAATAAAAAATGTGTATTGAAATCTTTAATTATTACATCTCTATGTTGTATATGCCATTATGTGTCCATGTTCAAAATTATGTGTTGATCAGACCACAAGACCTCTTTTTGAGGATTACTGAGCACAAATCTGAGAGTCATACTAGAAATTCAGAAACTTCATTAACCATGCATTTTCTGGAATATGATCACAAGCCTTCTGATTTAATTGGTAGTTTTTAACAGAAATAATTTATTCTGTTAACATACAATATTCTTGAACTTTCCCAATGAGTAGTCTTTTGGATGCACAATTTAAACACAATTTCCCTTGCTGGTTTAAATGACAAAATGAATTTAGCTGTATTTGCATTTTCATAAACAATTTCATCTCAAAAATAGTGGATATAAAGATAGAGTTTCTTTTCAGGTAGTAGTTCTACTAATGTATAATTTTTCTGCTTGAGTAATAGCATATTTGAGAGTTACATCTTTTGGTGAGATATGGATTGGCAGCTGATTCCCCCTATATTGAATTTCAGTTATGCTTCATTTTGTGAGCAGCAGTGGCATATTTTGAGCAACAACATAGCTGGATTATAGGTTTGTATTTTTACTTTATACAAACTTTTTATTCTATGCTAGAAGGACTTATAATCAAACTATCCTTTTAAATTACAGTCTTAGGAGCAACAAATCCCTTGTGGTGTAGCTCTAGTCATTAAAGGTCTTGTATACGAACTATATCAAGCAATAAATTTATAATGGTAATTTATTCCTTTATAATTTTTGATTCCATTCAAACGAATGACATAATAGACTCTTATTATATTTATATATAATTAAGTTGAAAAAAAATGAATACAATTTGGAAAAATCAAACGAGAAGCTCTAGGGGGATCTACAGCTGTCAACTGCAAGACCAGTTTTGTTTCTGCTGAAACATCTCTAACATCTGTACTGTTTGGAGAAATTGTAATCGTCACACAATAGTGGCTATCATTCATGTTTGTTTATGTTCATTTTATATGTAGTCTTAAACTGTTGACTCATAAATCACTGTTTATACATTTCCATTGCTTTAGGGCAGTGGTGGCCAAACTTGACCCTCCAGCTGTTTTTGGACTACAACTCCCATCAACCCTAGATAACAGGACCAGTGGTCAGGGATGATGGGAATTGTAGTCCCAAAACAGCGGGAGGGCCAAGTTCAGGTGATCTTGTTTGTAACTCATATGCTTTGGGACCTTCTCCATTGTTTTGGTTGCTTTTGGAGAATAACTTCTTAAAATAAGCCAATTGTTAGTGTAGCAGTGCCAGACCTGTCTTTTTTATATTATTTACCCAGGGAAAACATCATAGAGGTAAATGTGTTGAAATGTCCATCCATCTACTCCTTTTCTCCCTGCAACTCTTTCTCAAGCTCTGCTCACTTCCATTAGTAGCAGGTGGGGGGTGGAAGGGTGCTCACCTGCTGCTTTTTAAATGGAAGTTGGTGGGGAGAGGCTCTCTAGTTTAATGGCAAGTTCAGTCTTGTGCACAATACGCAGATCTGCTGTCAAATAGGTAGGTTCTTCTCCCCATGTCCTTCTAGATTCATAGCGTATTTGTAGTAGAGAATCCACAAAACACTTGAGGGACCCAGAACCAATCTTTTCCCCATACTTTCCTGATCAAGATGCTAAGGAAGATTGTTTAAACAAGTGATTACTCAATGTTTCCTTCTGTGCTCTGTCCTGGTCCTATTTCAACGTGAGACAAAATAGCACTCCTATCCCTTACACATGTAAAGCGGGATCTAGCTTTAAAATGCTGGTTAGGAACAAACTCTGTGTAGCCTTAAGTGTGCCCAACCCTCTGTCAACATGTGCTAAAATACGTTTGCTCCCCTAATAGCACTGGGGGAAACTCCTAATAAAACTTCCACAACTCTTGTTCCAGGTAATCCTCAACCTTGATGAGGTGTGAATTGCTATGTGGTGTTTCTCAGGGCACCTCTGCTTAACTTCCTGAAAAACAGATGTTTTTACACTTGCAGTTTTTGGAGTCAAATCTACCACAATTGGAAAGGCTGAGGGGGGAAAATGCATATAAAGGGCCTTGGTATTGGTTGCCCTGCATAATGCAGTTTAAACCTCTTAGTGACATGCCATATCTACAGATGCTTTACCCAGAGCCTGTTCTGTCTATTTCAACAGAGGAGAAGAGCATGACTGATAAAACATCCCTCCTCCTCAATATTTAGCCTATTTTCATAATAGACTGATCACTCACTCCCTTAGGATTATGTGCATGAGCAAAGACACTGGGTGGGGGAAGCCTGGAGTCAGTACTGAAATGACATTAAGCATTACTTGAAATCTTGCTCATAAGGAGGAACAATTGTCATATTTTATTTAATTATTTGACCTGAATGAGGTATAATTACACTACCATCAAAAGTGTGTAGCATCCTTGCTTTTTCTGTTTGGGTAGCTAGATCAGAATACCGACCAAGACCACAAAGAAGAAAACCTATTTAGAAATGATGGCATCTCCAGTTTATGTTCCATTGAAATATTTGCTTTGGTGGATCACTCTACAGTTTTTACTTAATTCCAAAGTTTTTGCTGAAATGTCTTAAGTTAGATTTTTAAAACTGATAGGAAAATGCTATGTGTTAATCCTGCTGTAAATAGTGCATGCTATTTTCAGACTTGATATTGTATACCTTGGATTTTGAGAGCCATTTTTCAGATTTTGGCAGACTGAGTTTATTTCTTTGTGGTAAATATTACTGTTGCTAAAAACACTACCTCAGAAATGCCATTTATCTATTCTTGTATTGTGCTGTTAACCAGCTGTATCCCTTTCAGTTACTTTTAGCACAACATCTTAATAGTATTGGTATCTTACAACATGGTTGAGAAAATCAAAGTGTTCATAATGTGCAGAGTAATTCAAGGTTTTCTATTTTTTAAACAAATATTTGCAGTGCCACAAAATGAAATGCAGGTAGTCTGCAAATCTTCAACAGAGGCAAGCTCTTTAAGATGTTAGAGTAAAACTTATGAAGGAAAATCTAAGTAAGAACTTCAGAAGCTGCAGCTAGTCAATTTTGGGGTGATGGAAGATGCTGCTTCTACAGACCAAATATGGTCTTGCAATACATGGGAAATATTATGTTTACAGGAAGAGATTGTCCTACATTTTTGGCAAGGACCGCTGATAAAACTGAATAATCTATTCTAATAGCCATGCAACTTAGAGGAATTTTTTGGGGGGCCCGGTAGAATGTCCTTTCAAAGATTGCAATTTCGAAGTATTGCTTGTCAGATGGTATAAATTAACTTAGCTTTCTGTCTGTGCTTTGCTTTGAATTCCGAAGAGATATACTTCGATGTTTATAGGGCATCACACCTTGCTCTCTGACTTGTGGCAAGGAAATATAAATAAAGACAGAGCACAGATAATCTCTGACTTGAGTTCTTAGATGTGCTAATATTTCTAGAAAAATATTTTTAAGAACTAGTGTGTCCAATCAGCTTTATATAGGGTCGTATACCACTTGCACCCCAACCTGTTTAGGGAGTCCCCAGGACTCTTTAGTGTCAGAGATGGCACTCAGGAGCAGTTATGTCAATGTGCCTGGCTGTCATTCCATACCAAACCAAGACAGTATTGCTGGTTCTGGATTTTTGAAAATCCCCAAAGCACATTAGTAATACCTTTGATTTCCTAAGTCTTCATGGGTGGACCACCCTAAAGGGTACCCTACACCTGCAGCGGGTGGGTGAGTTTGTAATACCCAACTTCACCAGATAATAATCTGACAATGACAACAGGGTTAATTCACCCCCTCCCAATACCCAGATGCCCTCCTTCACAAGGTGGCGAGGTTTCCTGGTGAGCAAAATGGAAATATTACAGACTACATCCACTTCTCCCTCTCTGATCCTTCAATCAAGGCTGATGCCTTCTGGGCAAAGCTGAGTCAAATCTACTCAGCCCAACACTCTCAGGTCTCAGGAATACAAGCCAGATCATAGAATCATAGAACTGTAGAATTGGAAGACTGCTAGTGTTATCTAGTCCAACCCCTTGCTATGCAGAAGTCAAAGCTCCCTCATCCACAATCAACTCATGGATGAACATGGTTTTATTAATCCCCTGGCAATAATGGATTAGCCAGTTGTGTTTGACTTGAGATGCTTTAATGACATTTACTAATGGTTTACCAGTGTATTTCCAAAATATCAGTTTATTGAGATTTCATAGGAACGTGGTTGAGCCAATCTTTTATTTATTATTTTTTGTTACACCTTGCCTTTCAAATACATAATCAGGATGACTTTCAGTAAACTATTAAACACATCTGAAGCCTTAATGTTTGAAATAATGTGTTGACCAAACCCGTCCTTCATCGGTTGGTATGTGAAGCACTAAACTTTGCTTCAGGAAGGAAGTTAGGTATTCCAAGAGAATGAAGTAACATATTTGCCCCTTAAATAAGTGACTGCAGTAGTAATGTCCCATTGCTGTTGCACTTTGGTAATGCCTACCATCTCTAGCTGTGAGGACCAAGATCCAGGATGAACCCCAGTCTTGAACTTTGTGGGAAGCAATTGCAAGGCTCATGAACTGAACTTCTGTCAATGTTTGTTTGGCCTTTTGGAAGGCTGTGGGAGACTGGTTTTCATTTCAGTAGTCAAAATGTCAGCAGGTGAAAGGTGTATTAGGAGCTGGTTGGTTCAGGGATATTCTGAGGCAGAATGGCTTGGAGTTTATACTACTAGTGCTCCTTCTTACAGGAAAATGATTTTTATGAGCAATGATTTGTAAGTATTTCAACCAACATGAAAACAAAAGCTGCTTTGTATTGAAGCGATTCCTGGAGCAATAGTGGAAAAGCACTCATTACTTGTACTGTATAGGACACGGACACACCACAAAAACACACACTTGGAGCTGTTCCCAAGCAGTTCAGTGAATTTTCAGATACCATTTGTGTCAACATTCCGTAGCCATCTATGGTACATCAAAAGTTGCAGAAAACTCTAATATATGTATATGTCAATACTTGATGTGCATTTCAGAAGATGATGCAATGCAAAATAAGTTGTAGTTCGTGCATGTTTAAACCTGCCATTACCACTTTTGCTGCCCCATTAGTTGGCGTTTGTGAGAATGGTTTTATGCTTAACTAGTATTTGTAGCAATTGAGCTTTGCATATATTTTCTGAGTTCTGAAAATACGTTAATAGTAGCATAATCCACCTTTGCAAAAAAATTTGAGAAAATTGCAGTAACGATCTTCAATTATTTTAGAGAACAAGGCTTTAAGACCTTCCTTAACTGCTCTGGATAACCTGCCATTTGCTTATTTGCTCTCTAGAAAAAAACACAAAACCATAGAATTTTAGAGCCTTTGTATCTCTTTGTGTGAAAGTGGGAGAATGAAACAACTGGCTATGTTTTTGCCTGCTTCTCTGAATTCTAACGGAGGTCAAATAACTTAATGATATTTATTATTGATTAATTTTTTTTAAGTCTCATCAGTGTGGGAATGCCGTAAGAGTTGCATAAGAGAAAAATATAGGCCCCCTACCTTGAAGAGTTTAAGGTTCTAAATTAGAGTGACCATGAAAGTTCAAGGGACAAATTTTAACTGTGTGCCAGATCTCTTGCATGAAGATTGCTCTTACGGATTGCCCTTGAAGCTAATATCACAGTCCTGTATAAAATAGGCATTTCAGTATGAAGGAGAGTAAAATATTTTTATTATAAAAACTTGGAATAGGTTTTTTCGTTGTTTGGAGCTGTGTTAGAGTAAATGCTGCAGTACTTTATTACTTAGATTTTTTTTACTGTTGGAACTTGGTCACCAGAAAGTTGTATTTTATTTGTTCTCTTTTATTTATGTTAATACCCCATGTGGCTTTGACAATGTACAAAGTGGCAAGTATAATGCCTTTGCTAAAACTTTCATGCCCAGTAATGTACTCAGTAATGTTCTATAAGTATGATAAATAAAAATTGCACCATATTTTGAAAGTTGTGCATGATTATTTTTTTGAAAAAGTTTAGATATGGCTTCATTGTAGTTTTTCTGAAGTTTTAGTAAGTCTAATGGAGGCTGTTATGTCTTCTGTGTTATCTTGTAAAGGGGTCAAAAACTCTGACCACTCCGCAGGAAAATCTTGATAAAATTGAGTGAATGTATATTGAAACAAGTCAAATTCTTCCCAACCCAGTCTCACGGGTTTTGGTGCCATTTTAGGCTACTGAGAGTTGGAGAATATTGAGGGTTTTTGTTTTGTTTTGTTTTGTTTTTTTTTGCAAGTAACATACCTGGGTTAGGGTGGGAGCAGAGAACTATCAGGCCCCCCCCATGTGTTGCTTAATTCTTTATATATATATTCTGGTAGGTGTTACCTGTGCCAAAAAACAATAATAACAGAAAATAACATTGATACAGAAAACACGCTGCTTCTGATTTTTATTGCTGTTTCTAAATTATAAATCACATGTAACATTTTAACCCATATCATTTTTTAAAATACCGTGGTACCTTGGGTTAAGTACTTAATTCATTCCGGAGGTCCGTTCTTAACCTGAAACTGTTCTTAACCTGAAGCACCACTTTAGCTAATGGGGCCTCCTGCTGCCACTGTGCCGCCAGAGCACGATTTCTGTTCTCATCCTGAAGCAAAGTTCTTAACCCGAGGTACTATTTCTGGGTTAGCGGAGTCTGTAACCTGAAGTGTATGTAACCCGAGGTACCACTGTATGAGCAGTTCTGATTGATAGTCTTCAGAGATAATGATTATAGTGGTACCTCGGTTTACAAACTTAATCTGTTCCGGAAGTCGGTTCTTAAACCGAAACCGTTCTTAAACCAAGGCACACTTCCCCTAATGAGGCCTTCCGCCGCCGGTGCCCTTCCACCGTTTGGATTCCATTCTTTTCGCAAACCGGGACGCTACTTAAACTGAATCATTCAAAACAGGACTGTTCTTAAACTGAGGTACCATGTAACAAAGGTAAAGGTAAAGGACCCCTGACAGTTAAGTCCAGGCACAGATGACTCTGGGGTTGCGACGCTCAACTTGCTTTACAGGCCAAAGGAGGCAGCGTTTGTCTGCAGACAGTTTTTCCAGGTCATGTGGTCAGCATGACTAAGCCGCTTCTGGCGAAACCAGAGCAGCGCACAGAAACACCGTTTACCTTCCCACCGGAGCGGTACCTATTAATCTACTTGCACTTTCTGGCGTGCTTTCAAACTGCTAGGTTGGCATGAGCTGGGATCGAACAATGGGAGCGGCAAGCCCAAGAGGCTCAGTGGTTTAGACCACAGTGCCACCCAAGTCCTGAGGTACCACTATAGTTGCCAGTATATATCCCTTACTGGTCTTCCTTGCATAGAATTCAAATCCTGATGACATTGAACATTGAAAAATTCATTGAGTTAATAACTATCTAGGTATAGTAATTTGGTCATATCAGGTTTGAGAACCTTGAGTTTTCTCTCTCTGTGGTGCATCACCTATATCACGTCTGCAGAAATATGGTAGCCAATCTCTGGTATCCAACTGGTAGCCAATCTTTAGCTGCCAGTAGCTCTATTTTTAGTACCCAAGTCACTAGGCTTTCCCCTCTGTACTATTAATTATTCTTACTGGTATATAGTTCAAAGTCCAAGGTCTTTGACCTATGGGTCTCAGATGTAGGTGATGAAATGCAGTGTCTTCTCTTGATTCAGGTGTAGCTGGTCGGAGGGCATAGTTGATTTGTGTATTAGTGAATAGATAACGGAGGCTAGTCGAAGTGTCTTTACAAGCAAGTATAAATAAGCTGTTGTGGGTAAATGATTATGTATGAACAAACACCAGACTAATACTGCCTGCCCCATCAAAAAAGGCAATGTTTTCCTTGGAAGAAGTCATGTTTATTAATGTTACAAGAATCTTCATGGGATAGGAGTGAAGACTGTATTTGAAAGGTGCTTACTTGAGGCAAATGATGGAGTTAAATCAGCCCAGCTGACTCATACGTCAAGGTTTGGGGAGATCACTGTGCATTGGAGCATGGTTAGAACATGTAAGAGACGTTTTCCTTAATGATTTACTCCTGTTGACTTGAGAAGGTTTCTCTTAAAAATGGAAGGAGGTTAGGTGAGAGGAGTTTTTTATCTGGATACAGTAAGGTATTTAAAAGCAGTTGAGACGGTATTGATCTTTTTATTGGTGCCTTGTGTTTCAATTGGCAGTGGGGATAATATATCAATGAAACGATATCCTCCTGACACTTTTATGAGCCAGTTTTGCTAATTCTTCTGATCTGCTTTCCCCCTTTAACTTGCTATTGTTGAACAGATTGAGGGAAATACTTTTTTATGATCCTTTGATTCCTGAGATACTGCTGCTGCTTGTATCTAGTATCCATGCAAGGTATTTTGAAGTTTGGTAATTCAGCAGATGTCAAAGGCACGAACTAAAGACATGTTGCTAATGAAACAGTCACCTGGGGGCAACTAGACATGTTGGTGGCATTCTTACGTGTTAGAAGTCCAATCCCTGCAAAATTCTTTTAAAGTGGAGGGAAGAGATAGCAGTATTTGAAGCACAGAAAGGGTAGGGAGATTTCATGTTTACTGAACCCTCAGGCTTCCTGAGCACTTCTCCCTGACATTTCCTTCTGTCTGTCTTTCTGTCAGTCTGTCTGTCTGTCTGTCTACCTACCTGCCTGGCCCAGGTCACCCAGTGAGCTTCATGGTCAAGTGGCAATTTGAACCCTGGTCCCCCACGTCCTAGTCCAACACTCGATAACCACTATACCACACTGGATCCCCTGTTGGGGATCTGAGATTGAAAATAATTCTATGGATAGGAAAATACTGTAGTTCACACCTGGAAACAATTTATCCAAAGGTAATGCTACATATTTCAGTTCTGGGTAGATATTGAGAAAATGGTTCATTATGACGGTGCAGATCTCCATATTCACTCACTGATTTTAAAGAGAGGAGAAATTTACATGTCTTTTGGCACAGAAGCATGCAGAATGGAGAATTAATGCTGTAAACAAGAAGATTAGCTTGCTCTCTGGGTGTGTACATGCAGAGAAATGAAAAGAGCTAGCAAGGAAAGATACTACAACCTTGATTTTTATCAAGCCAAATTAGAACCAAATATTGATCATTTCAATGCAAGCTTCTATAGTTTTATTGACAGTGGGTAGTGATTAACTGCTGGTGTGTTTGAAACATCTGTCGTTGCATTATATAAAACAAGTTTTTTATATTATACGACTCCTGAAATTGTACAACAGTGAAGACATGTGTAAGAGGATGAATGGGTGATATTTATAAAATTAAGCATCTTGCTTGCCCAAAGTTGAAGTGCAATAAAATACATCTAATTGTTTTTGAACTTGTTCCCTGAGTGCTGCAAATTCAGTGGAAGAGTGGGCTATAAATACTCTTAGTAGATAAATACCCCCCTTGTACTCATTTGGATAAAAGTAAAATTAAATTTCAATATTTTTAGAAAGCAAAGATAAAACTTGGGCTTATTTCTTACAATTTTTCATGGCACAATCTTAGCCCTGGTAGATGATATGGAAGCACAAGTCCATCCATTATTTGTACATTGGGGTACTTTTATAGCTTTGTTTAGAGTACGTAATGTTTTAATAATATAAATGTTTTAAGTCTTTTTTTACCAATTCAGTATATTTTCTTTTAATTGTCAAATAATTCTGTGTACATTGCGACAGCCTTTGGCTGTGTGCAATAAAACTGACTGAGACTGAGACGTATATACTGTACTGTACTTTCCTTCTCTACATACCTGAGGCAATAAGACCTATCCCAGTACTTATTATTCATGCTTTTCCTGAAACACTAAATAACCCCCTTGGCCATTGGCGGCACAGCAATATCCAGCTATGCTTGTACTCTTAACAAAGATTACGGCAGTTCTGAGTTTATGTAAGCAAATATGTTCATTACTACAGGAACTTGGTTATACTATTCAGGCTTTTTGAGAATACTTTAGAGTAGTCGAAATTTGGTCATGAATCAAATTGAGGAGCTGTTTGATATTATTTGTAAGGTGTATAGTTCTGCAGTAGATAATAGTTCCTGTTATTCTTTTGTTTGGCATTACTTTGGGCAGGCAACTGATACATCTTTAAACAAACAAAGCCTCTTGTAGCGTTTTAGTTAGATTCCTGAGCAACAGCACAAAGATTGGCTTGTAGATTTTACATAAACATAGCTTGCATTTACAAACTACTTCTGATGACAATGAAACACTAAATCTAAACTCCAAACATTTTGCTTTCAATGGGTTGTTGTAGCGTGAGCCGCCTTGAGCTCAGATTCTAACAGCTCAGCTTAACTGGGTTGTTCTGTTGTTTTAGTCTGCTTGTCTGGATTTCAGATACAGTCGTACCTTGGATCCCGAATGCCTTGCAAGTCTAATGTTTTGGCTCCTGAATGCTGCAAACCGGTGAGAGTTGCAGTGAGTGTTCCTGTTTGCAAACGTTCTTTGGAACCTGAACGTCTGACACAGCTTCCAATTGGCTGCAGGAGCTTCTTGCAGCCAATCAGAAACTGTGCTTTGGTTTCGTTTTGAAACATTTTGGAAGTCGAACGGACTTCCAGAACGGATTCCGAGGTACCACTGTACTTCAAATTTTAAAGACCTTGTGTAGAAATGGCTGGCTCTTCAGATGCTCATTTCTGTGCAAAAATTCATGGTTAGACAGTGCCTTTTATTTGTACCAACCAAAACGTAGATTAGGCTCTACTTGGTGCTATACAGATTTTTCAGCGAGAGCACTGGTCTGTTCCTCCCATTTTTGTAAATATAAAATGCAGCTGGACCGCCAAAACATACAGGAGTTTGGGTAGGCGGAAAACAAAAAAGAATTCGCTAGTTTTAAAGTTGACAAAATTGCAGATTACTTTTTTAAGATGTGTCAGGTAAAAAAGTAAATATATTACAATTATTCACTAGTTGAAGAGAGAAGGTAAGAATTAGAGTCTTATCTTCAGCAAAGTTCAGTATTCTCCAAGACATAGACAACGGAAAGAAAGTCAGGGTATTTGTGAAAAAATCTGGGTAATGAGTGGATTCTACATTTTCAGAAATGGATCAGCTATTTTTTTGTATGCCCTAGCAGCCTTTTGTGCACATTGTAACCTGTGTAGTACCTAATAGAGCCTAATCTAATTAAGTCTGCTATCTTTTCCTGTACTCCATCTTTAGACTGTGACTAATGCAGACACCATGGCTTCATTATCACAGCAGCTTTTTGACTATTTAACATCCAACTTAATGAAGAGCACTGGAGAACTTGAAAGATATCTCACTATGCTGTGACATTTTTCTTGGTTCAAATGAAGGTATTGCCTGATAGAGGATTTTAAATTATTTTCTCATGGAACAAAATGGCCTTTCTTCCTTTTTTCTTTTTTTCTTTTTCCTTTCTGAATAGTATGTGTTAATATTCTACAAACGGTCTGTGTTAGTATTGCAACTAGTAGAGAGCTGGTTCAAACTGGTCACTTTTCATGCATCTGCCCTTTACTATTTCTTTTCTTTTTGTTGCATGTGTTGAAGTAGAACAAAAGGTTGTGCTGTTTTACTGTTTGGTGCTACAACTTGAAGGATGCGTAACGGGTCATTAGATTTTCAGTGTGTGTTAAGCATCTAAACTTAACATGCTTTGACTTAGCATGCTTTGAAAAGTGATTACAGGACTGAAATGCTGTCTCTTCCACACTGGAATGGACTAATAGGCAGTCTTTTGGATGGCAGTAAAAAGGAAAAAGCAGGCAATTTTGGTTTAGGAGGGCGATTATCCAGTGTTGACAGTGCAGTAGAAGAAAACACTGGTAGGGCACCCAATTTTCATCAGCTTACCCTAGCTACTGTTGAACTTTGCACCGTTGCCACATATTTTAAATCCAGAGAAGAATCTAAATTTATTGGTAAAAGCAAAAGCGTTTCTGATAAATAAAAGCTGTTCTGTTTTCAAGGGACAGTTAATTGTAATAATTTAACAAAAGCTACCAATATGACTGTGCCGTTATAGAAATCTTGAAATAGGAGTTTCTAGTAAATGTATGAATCTGATGAAGTAGGCTGTTGACTACCAAAGCTTTTGTAACAGTTGGATATGCTAGTTAAGACAAACTTAAAAATAAATTCATATAAACTGCTTGTTTCCTTAACTACACTTTACTGCTTTAATAATGCAAAATGAAACATTTATAACCATGGAATATGAAATTGTTCTGTTTGACATATTTAAGAAATTTAAATCCATAAATGCCTTAGTTTAATACAAGCAAAATTTCAAATATATCTGGTTGGTTTCTACTTCCTTCTGTGAGTCTTGGTTTGTTGGAATGTAGTAGTCACCCAAACTTTCAGATTTTTCATCTGAGGCTTGGGCATCCACAGCAGGATTTTGCTCTTTCTTCTTTGCAGCTACTTTTCCCCTAGTCAGTAACAGTGATTTGTAGGGAGAGGTGAAAAGGTAGACTATGAGGGAGGGGTCAGGCCAAAAACGACAGAAGAAACAGGATGTTCTCTTCCAGCATCTCCAAGCAAGAGCAAAGGTTACCAAAAGAAGGCAAGCAGCAATTCACAAACAATGAAAGCCCTGTACATTATGTGTCTTATGAAGATGTCTAGGATTGATGTATATGTCAGAAAAGTAATTCTCTAATTACAATACTTATTCTTGGCTAAAGTTCATGGTTAGCTAGGAGAGAGCTTAACCATAAGTTCAGATGGCACACTGGGTTCAGATGGCATGCTAAGCCAACCCTTCGCTCAGCACAGGGTTGAAGAAAGCAGCTGGCTTACAATGTGGTCTGGCTTACAATGTTGTGTGAACAAGAATCAGTGGCTACTAGTCAGGATAGCTGTTGCTATGACTTAATAATCATTTTTTACATTCATTTCAAGGCAATTTGCAAACATACCGTGAAACAGCTAAAATGTTATTTTAAAAATAGAAAAAAATAGAAAATAGAGAGAGGTTTAAAAACAATAAAAAATGAATGCTTAAGGCAGGTTTTCATTCGGCTGGAAAAACAAAAATGTCTTCAGTTATAGAATCTTAGAATTGTAGAGTTGGAAGAGACCCCAAGGGTCATCAACACCCTGCAAGGCAGGAATCCTGGGTGGGCTCAAACCACCGACCTTATGGTTAAAAGCCAGACTCATTGTGCCACTGAGGACTCCAAATTGTTTCCGGAAAGTACAGATATTGGGCACTATTCATATCACAACAGGGATGCTTTCCCACAAAATGGACAGTGCATCTGAGAGACTATGGAGTGGGCCTCTTCTTGAGACGTTAAGGTGAAATTCCTGCCGAATGCACTGACCTACTGGGAATATAAGGGATAAGAAGTTTTCTCAAGTAACCTGCTCCTGAGCTGTATAGAGCCATTTGAGTTACTACCAAAACATTGACTTTGATGCAGTAGCACGTTGGCAGCCAGTGCAAATCTCACAAGGCAGCCCTTTAAGCAGTTTAGGGAAGTTTTTAATGTCTGATGTTTTATTCTGTTTTTAATCTGTTGGGAGCTGCCCAGAGTGGCTGGGGAAACCCAGCTGGATCGGTGGGATATTAATAATAAATTATTATTATTATTATTAGGTGTGTGCAGCTGGTAGTTTGCCCCTACAAACAATACAGAATGCATAACATAAACTTTGCAGCATTTTTGAGGCCTAGTGGCTTTGCTTATCTTCTGAAAAACATTGCTATTGAGCATAGCTATGCAGTTCTGTATAATTTCTTTCCCAGCTTTGGATAGCATATATGGCAGGTATATCTTGGATTGTGCTCAAGATGGGCATCTATGCAGATGGAGCACCAGTGACTTTACTTGGAATATACCCTTTTATGAAGGAAGACTGTGTAATGTAGTACATGCATGTCCTGCTATCTGCCCGTTCAGTGTGCAGAAATTCACTTATCTGAACGCAAAGAATTAGGCCTAAACCTTGCTATACAGCCCACTGGAAATTGTCCAGTTCCTTACTTCCTAGCTTGTTTGTGCTTTGCTGGTCAGTGACAGCCATTTTCGGGCAGAAAACATGCAGGGAGGAAGTGAGATCAGGCAAAATAGAGAGCAGGAGAGATCAGACAAATCAGTTTTCCCTTTGTCTCTCTTTTGCTGGTTGGCTGCAGCCATTTTAGGAAGAAACCATGAAGGGAATGGGGACAGACATTGAGCAAATCCTGGATTAGATATATTCGCAAAAGACTCAGTGGAAATCATGGACTCGTTATGCGAACTTTCACCTAACAAATGATTTCCAGGGAGCACATTGTGTTCTGTAAGCGGGAACTGCATGTACTGATTTAAAATGTAGGAATTCTAAGATTGCACGTGGTTGCAGTTACACATTCTATAACATATGAAATGTTTTCTTCTAGGTGCAATGGATGAGCTTCATAGCCTGGATCCAAGAAGGCAGGAATTGTTAGAGGCTAGATTCACAGGAGTAGTGAGTGGAAGCACTGGGAGTACAGGAAGCTGTAGTGTTGGAGCAAAGGTAAGTAGAAATATTAGCTGTACAACATAAAGTGCTCTTTTTCAACAGAGTGGTGATGATCTACCTCAGCAAGTGTATTAAGCAAAATGTCACAATGAGGTACAAGAGAAAATGCTGAAGTTCATTCAATACCTGGAGCTCCTTTTAGCAGCATCTTCTGGAAGTAGTTGCACAAGCTTTTGGCTACGCCAGAATCTCTAATTATGTTCACATGGTGACCAGAATATGCATGTAGGTGGTAGTTTCTGGAAACATAGACTCTGACACTATCTTAATACTATATAATTTCTAACTAGCTGTTTGAAACATAGTATGCCAAATAGTGTCTCTGTTTCTCAACAGGCCTCAACAAATAATGAGAGTTCTAATCACAGTTTTGGAAGCTTGGGATCTCTAAGTGACAAAGAATCAGAGGTATGAAGTAGTTAAACAACTAAACTGACACTTCTTATGTAAGATTGTTGTAACTCTTTTTCATACTTGTGTACATTAGGCCTCATTCTTGAAATGTGCATGCCTGTGAGATTTTCCTGAATAGTTCTACATTGAAGATCTGGAAAGAACCAATATTTTAGTGTTTGTGCAGGAAGATTATAAATGTTGTGCTGGTCATGTATGAGTAGATTTGGTTCTATTCAAATGGAAGGTTTGCTAACCACTTTTAGTTTTCTGTTGGATAACGCTATCTGAAATATTAGGATATTGTCAATAAAACACTTTTTTAGTTAATGCAGATCAATTATTCATCTTTAAATTCTTTCAGTGCATAGTGGCTTCCAGAATTACAGCTGCACTATTATGTGTGCAATTTTCGGTGATGGCTTCATTTCAAAGACTAATCAAATGTCTGTCTATTTTATTATGAGATTGGAGTTGATTGGTAATACCTTTTATTCCTAAGCTGTGACCCTTAAATAGGACTATATACTATTTAGCAGCTGTACTGCTAAAGGTTCCTTTCATTTCTTGGAATAGCTAATTCTGTACACCTCGGAATTTCTCCAGCTTGTGAACCTTTCCATAAATCTACGTGGAAATGACATGTAAAACTTCTGTTGGTGAAATTCAGCTGTACGTATGTAGACGCCTGCCCATGTAACGGGAATTAACTGTCTTCTCCAACTCCCCGCAGCCTCCCTGGGTGCCTCCAAAGTCCACTCTTATGGGGCCCCAAACCCTCTAGAGTAGATGTTGAGGGCACATGGAGGACTGCAAGGAGGAGGACAGGAAGGTGAAGTCCCTGTTGTGTGAGCAGATGTCTATTCTGCTAATGCACAGACAACATTGATGCGATCAACAAGTAACAGTATGGCTTTTTTTCAGTCATACAAATACCTGTTTCCTTCTGCCTATATATAACCTACCCAAAGAGTCCCTTCATCAAAGGCCCTGATCACTATGCCATCTCAAGTGAAGTGTAACAGTGGCTACAAAACAGTGGCAGGGCCTTGTCATTGCTGGCACCCTGATTATAGAACAACCTCTGCAGAAAGATAATTGCCTGGCACCTTGCTTATGATCTTTGTGGCAACAGGTGAAGAACTTTTTGTTCACCCAGGCCTGGTAAACTTTTGTTTTCAAAACAAACCATAGGGGCCATATCCAGTGTTGCAGCTCCACTGGCACAAGGGCTTGAGTGTGCACAATGGAACTTCCTGTTCCTCTCTTGTCCCCTCCAGCCTCACCCCCCTGCATTGTCAAAATCGGCTGCAGATGATTGACAGACCCTCCAAAGCACATTTGGGGGCACAAAGGGAAGAGAGAAAATGGAAATCCCATTGCTCCTGCAGAACCCTGCTGGTGCAGCATTAAATACAATCCTAGGTGTTTCAGTACATTTTCAGATAAACCTTTTGCCCCCTGCTCTGTAAGCTGTTTTGTTCTGCCTCTGCTAAGAATTTTTTTGTTTGTTTAATTGATCTTGGTTGGTTTTAATAACTCTATTTTTAATTTTTTTAATGTGTGCCTCAATTTCGTAAGCTTCCTAGATATGTTCGCTGGTATATTTGAGCTCTAAAACTTTATGTGTGCATTCTCTTTTTCTCAAGATTGTAAAAAAATATTTGACAATAGAGCTTCTGTTAGGATGTGGTTGTAGGGTTGTAATTTCAAAAAGACAACAGCTTTCTGATTACTTGTGATTTCTCCAAAGTACTTGACTGTAAAATGTAGGTTATGCCTGGGATTCAAAGAATGGTGCAGCTAGTTTCATGTGGGGTGGGGGTGAGGAGTGCTCTTTTTCAAGCAGCAGCCTTCTACATTACATGGCAACTACGTCCGAAAAAAGGGGTTTCTAAAAAGTCAAGGACCCATCACATCATATCAGCATAAGAATTCCCACTTGACACCTATAATCCCTTGTGCATGCCTAAAAGTAGATCTTTGCATCAAATTCTTCGCATGAATGTAAAACACACATTTAGAACGATAAGGTTTTTTTAAAAAAGCTTAACTCAGAAACAGGACAGACTTCATTTCTCCTTCACTTTGTCACTGTAGTTGTCAGTGCACCTAGCAATTCATCCAGTACATGCATTAGATTTGGCACAACAACTTCTAGCTTGAAATGAGCTTGCTTGTATTCAGGAGCGTTCCAAAATGATCGAAGGGTCATCTGTTTTTGATCACATTGTTGGATTGTGGTTGAAATGTGAAGAATTCAGAAAATGCTGTTTTGACTCAGAATTACTTAGCAGTACATTTCCCCCCCAAAAGCTATACTTGGATTTCAGCTGTATATGGGAAATAGTAATGACTTCTGCCTACTGTTTTATGAGCAAATTGATTCCAGCGCCTTTTGGCCTCTAACTTTTCTGTGTTAAACTGTGATTAAAATTTGCTGACTCTTTATATTACACCATGGGTTGTTTGATTGTGCTAACCCTATCCAGCAGCTTAACTTGGGTTACAGGCAACAAGCCACAATCTGAAGCCATGGTTTGTTGGCTCACAAACTTGCTTTGTTTTTTAACTATGGTTTGGTATTGTGTGCAAACTGAGTATCCTTTCTTAACAATCATTTTTTTGGCCTCTTCACCCCAGATGCTTGTTGAGCTATAAAGACATATAGAATAACTCATGATTTGTTAAACGATGGCTTAGCATTATGTGTAAACCTGGCCAATAAGGAAAATAATATTAATGTGTAATTGGGAAATTGCAGTTTGCTTTCTTTTGAAACTTAGTGGTGGTGGTTTGGAGCTTGTGTCCTAGGAAAGCATGTATTTACTGTAGCTTTGATCCAGAGTTATCCCATCTGTGAATGGAAATGTTCATTCTGTTCACAAAAGGGGTTGAGATCCTTTGAAGGCACAGGTTGGAGGAAGGCAAGGAGACTATTTTTTCCAATTCCTCCTTGCCACCATGAACACTGCTCACCCAGTCCTCTGTAGCAGCTCTTGGGAGGTGTTGTTGCTGCTGCTGCTGCTGAAAGAAGGAATAATTTTGCAAGAAACACCTCTCCCCGCCTCAATTCCCTTATTCCACCTGGAGCATCTCATGAGTGGAGCTTTTTGTGTGGGAATTCTCAATCCAACTCTGTGCTCTTGTTTACATTTTTAATACTTTTTAACACTACAAAATTAATGGCTTGTATCAATTCCCACGCCCAACATACATAAGCACAAGGCATTTCACATCTTCACAGGGGTTGCTGTTGATCCCTCCATTCCATTCTGGAGGGTCTCCTGTTTATTTCGGCGGGGGGCTGTTATGGCAGATGTAGGGGTTGCCTCGGAAAGGGAGTGTGTGCAGTAGGAAGGTCATGTGACAGTTCTTTAAACCTGAGCCAGTCTTTTCTGTAGCTCGTAGTTGTTACAGTCAGCTTGTAGAGATGTTTTCAATATTTATATGCAAGCAAATAAAAGAATAAAATAATATTAAAACAACCTGGTTTACTGGGGCGATAGAATGAAGTAGCTGCAGTAACTTGATGCGAGTAGGGATTTTGTACAATTCCTGAAAAAAAACATTTTATGTGTCACCTTGGAGATAAGTGAAGCTGCCTATTGGTTGAGCATCTCTTTTTAATGCACATTTGTGTGTAGAACTGTTGCTGGCTCCTTTTCTATGCATTAAACAGCATGATTTTGTGTCTGGCAGACTCCTGAGAAAAAACAGTTGGAACCTTCTAGAGGAAGAAAAAGGAAAGCAGAAAACCAGAGTGAAAGTAGTCAAGGTATGATATATATCATGTACAGCTGATTTTTTTTTTAATTGAATCATCTAGTAACATTTCAACTTCTTGGGAAAGAAGTCCTCCCTTTTTGAATGTCACACCGTTGCTTTGCATTGTCAGCGGGCATCTAGCTGAACTGAGTAAAAATTCCACTAAAAGTTGAATTTGGCTTATATGTAATTATGGTTTTCTGCTTGCCAAATTGTAGTCTCTAGCAGCACTTTACACAAATATGGCCCTAGGAGTTAGTTTCCTTTTTGAAAAGACAGGATGGAGTCAATTTTGTAGTTATGCTGTCTTCAGCTGAACAGTCATCCATTATGGTTGTTTTAAAGACCAGCATTCTTCCTTGTTGCTCTTTTCATTTCATATCATTTTCAGACTGTAATGTCACTTTTCCACATTACTGATCTCGAAGCAGCTTACAACCTGTTGAAATGACAAAATATAGAACAAAAAACACTGCTGTTCTACACACATTCAGAAGATAATGAAAAATTAACAAAATCCAAGAATCTACTTTACATATAATAATACATATAATATTCAACAAAATATTAGCAAACTCACCCTGTCAGTTGCAACAAATTAATAATTGCAAATATTGTTAACAAAGCAAACAGCATTTTTTTAAAAATAGTTTTATAAAAGTAACAAATTTCGCTTGATTTTGTCTTAGGGCTTTTCAAACTCCTTCAAAGTAGTCTGGAAGGGACATGCTGCAAGTTTTATTTTGTCTTTTGACAGACACTCGAAGGATCAATGATTCTCTATGGATGTCAATAAATACACTATCTCAGTCTGGAGATGTGTTCACTCGAGAGCAAATAGAGTGTAATAGAAAAATGTTTTAAAGTTGAGGTGGTCTATTAGAATTTTTAAAAATAAACTAGCATTGGAATTGATAAATAGCACTCTGTATTGCTATGAAGATTTGGAACAAGAAATAATATCTGGTTGCTTCATTTGCTTATATTTGATTCAATTGCTGTCAGTAATTAGTTCTTCAATCCCTGTCCCATCATTCTAAAAGGCTCCCAGCCCTCCTTTGGAAGAGTGTGTGCTTGGTCCTGGATAAAATGCTATTTTTAAAATCCATTTTCTTATCTTTGTAGACTTTTGTCCAGAGTACAAAAGTCTATGTGCTCAATACACATTGATACATGCACATGCAGAGTAAACATGGCTGCTTGTTTAACTTTGCAGATTTGATGCTTTTAAATTAAATTCAAAAATATCAGAAGTTGATTTGCATTGTTTAACCCATAGCACAAGCTTTGAAGTGTGTTTGTGTGGGTGCTTCACAGAAGTGCTGCTAAACAGAAATTGTATAATAAACTTGTAAATGGCTTATTGTTCCTACTATCTGAAATAAAAGAGAAATGTATTTTAAGAGCAAATTAGCCTTAAGCGACTGTTTCGTTGGAGGACTTATTCTACTAGGTCTAGTAATTAATGTGTTACTTTATCAAACTTGTCTGAATGGGTTTTGCAGAGCCCTATTTTATTTTCATTGGAAGAAATGGTAGCTGCTGGTTAAATAAAGAGGAGTGAAGGACCATCTTGTTTTATTGTTTAGATAAATAGGCATTCCTTTCATAAACTCATTAGAGATGTGCTGTTGTACGACACACCTTAGAAGTGAGAATAGTTTGAGGGTTATAGTTGACACACAAACAGCCACACTTCCTAGTTCCTTCCTATACATGTTTTAGACTGCTGCTGTTGTGTCTTAGATTGCTATCTTGTCCGTCTTCCCAAAAGATATCAGGGTGACAGGCTCTGCTAGATGTTATTGGCATAATTTTGCACTTTACAGTGGCTTGGACCCAGACACAATTTGCTGCCATCTCACAGAGAACACTCTCCTGGAGTATATGGTTGGTGGTGCTCCAATGCTTATTTTGGGGTGCACACCACAACTGCTAATTCATGGTTCAAATAATAATAATCCATAGAATGTCTGGTAGACATTTTGGAAAATGCTTTCTGTAAACTCCATTCCAAGCTATGGCCAAGTGGAAATTGCCGTCAGTAATGAATTTTCTATGGAAATAGGCATGAGACTAGTGCTCTGGAACGGTCTCATTACTCTTCATGTGATAACTTTAGACAAATTTATGGCTTTAAAGAATATTTTGGAGAGGGAAGAAAGCATTTCATGATAAAAGGAAGAAACACTACTTTTTAAAGCCAAAGCCTGTGTGGGTGAGAGACATTCTCGGTCCTTTTTTTTCTGTACGTGGGAGATGGTTGTAATGACTTGAAAGCTGTCTCAAAATTTCATAGGCCAGTATCAACAGCATCTTGCAATTACAACTGATGATCCTATACTTGACTTACAAAGCAGTAAAAACTAATGTAGGCTGTGTGCATTGTTGCGAAGTGTAAGATGTTATCTATACCATATTTATATGTAGAGAGTGTTCAGAAAGTTGTCTGTCTTTTCCATTCCTTGGAGACACATCAGAGTGTTTTGTGTGCGTTCAAAGAGCCATATGGCCACTTTACAGTGGTGCCTCGCAAGACGAAAAGAATCCGTTCCGCGAGTCTCTTCGTCTTGCGGGTTTTTTCGTCTTGCGAAGCAAGCCGTTTAGCGGATTAGCGCTACAGTATTAGCGGCTTAGCGGGCTTAGTTGATCAGCTGATAAGCGGCTTAACGATAAGCTGATAAGCGGCTTAACGATAAGTTGAAAAGCGGCTTAACGATCAGCTGATAAGCGGCTTAGCATCAGCTGTTAAGCGGCTTAGCCATCAGCTGATAAGCGGTTTAGCGGCTTGGGAAAAAGGGGGGGGGAGGAAAAAACCCCGCAGGAACTCGCAAGACATTTTCGTCTTGCGAAGCAAGCACATAGGAAATTCGTTTTGCGAAGCACCTCCAAAACGGAAAACCCTTTCGTCTAGCGGGTTTTCCGTCTTGCGAGGCATTCGTCTTGCGGGGCACCACTGTATTTCAGTCGACTTTTGGTTAGGGATGTTAAGGCACCAATGCACATGTTTTTAGCTTTAAACTTTTATCTTTCTGGAATTTGGGATATCTTTATCTTCTAGATTTGTTTTTAAACTATGGTGATTGGTCTTTAAGGTCTTGCGCTGAGCCATCAGGATCAAGCAGCTCAGAATGGTAAATGGATATAAGTTGCTGTGTTTCCTTGTTACTACAATGGTCATACAACTGCTCAAATGTCTTTTGCTGACTAAATCAGTCCTATTAATTATTCAGCCTGTGGAATTAGGATAAGAACACAGATAAGTAGGCTCTTACTTACAAATCCTCAGGCCGCAATCAATCTGCAACCATAAGGTGTTTAAAAGGCCTTGTTTACTGCAAAAAAACCTAATGTGGCTACCAGTGCAATCTTGTACATGTCAGCTCAGAAGTAAGTTCTATTGAGTTCACTAGGTCTTGGTTGGAGTTACATGGCTATAGGATTGTGGTCCTGATTATCCAAGATTCAGCAAACCATTAGTCATGAATAAGTCCGCTGAAAGCATTGGGACTTTTCAGTAGTAACTAAGTATAAATCTGGAGAAATAAGGTTGGTCCATATAGTCTTTGAAAAAGTGATTGTTTAGGCATTCCTAAAAGATTAATGTAAGGAAACAAGCACTTGCCAAACTAACGAGAATCTGTGAGAAGCTAAAATTAAACAATACCTTACAACCTACATATTGCACAGCAGAAATTATGCTTTTTTTCCCTCTCTAATCTTTTTGATGATGATTTTATTTTTTAGGGAAAAACATTGGTGCACGTGGGCACAAAATTAGTGACTATTTTGAAGTAAGTGCTATGATTTCACTATATTCTAGTTAAGCTGTTTCTGTTTCATACATCAAATGTAGCTTTTTCTGAGGGATATAAACTATTGTATTTGGTTGGTTGTTTTTTATTTTGTATATAAACATTTTTTTTCTTTTCTTCATCCCAAAGTGCATAAGGTAACAAACATTTATTTAATCCCTTTTTGAATGCTCTCTCAAACTATCTATATGTTGATTTACCTTGATGGAGAGAAGATGGTTGTCACTGAACCTAGTGCAGGTCTTCCAAAACAGTGGTAAACTGAATAAAACGGGGTGCATTTTGACTTTTTTTGTACTTAAACCATACAGTTCCAACTAGAACAGGGGTCAGCAACCTTTTTCAGCCATGGGCCCGTCCACCGTCCCTCAGAGCATATGCTGGGCCGGACTATATTTTGAAAAAATAATAACAATTGAACGAATTCCTGTGCCCCACAAATAACCCAGAGATGCATTTTAAATAAGGACACATTCTACTCATGTAAAAACACGCTGATTTCTGGACCGTCCGCGGGCCGGATTGAGAAGGCGATTGGGCCACATCCGGCCCCCGGGCCTTAGGTTGCCTATCCCTGAGCTAGAAGTTCCAGATAGTGTTGCTTTCCTTTTACCTCCCAGCATATGCCTATTGGAAATTTATACAGAGCTAAAAGAATATGGATTTTGTGACCCAGTCATGCTATTGCTACTTTTCTTACATTGTTGCTTTTGTGAAAAAGCTTCAGACATATAGTCATAACTGGAGACTAATGGAACCTAGTAGGAAGTGTGACTCTATTACAATGTGCTTTTTAGCACAAATGAGCAAAAGGTGTCATCAGTAGAAAAACGGGCTGCTGCTAATATCCTCAGTTTTAGTACCATGGGCATAAATTTTCAGCAGCTTCCTGAATTTACATATTTAGTCTCGATGGCATTGGGCACTATTTAATAGATTTCTCAGTTATGGAAGAATTGCACAACCTTTCTACCGTTAAATTTTGCATGCCTTTCCTGTGACATTTGACAATCCCTGGTTTCCTAACTGTAATACTGTATGCCTCTTCAACAGTTTAGTTTTTTGCTTTCAACTTAATTTACTTAGAATTTCACAAAATATTGAATTAAGCAAGTTAGGAAGCAAAAGCTTTACCAAAGACTTTCTCCCTCATTTGTGCTTTTTGCTAAGCTGTGCTTGCTGGGGTAGCTTTTCCAGGGTAGTGTCTCTCAACAAGCTATTGCGTATGTATTCTATGTTAGCTGTTTCTAGAGGCCCTTGATATTTTAAAATGTTTTAAATATGTATTCATTTTATTTTAATAGTATTGTTCTATTACTTTGTTTGCTGCCCTGGGCTTCTTTCAGGAGGATGGATGGGATACAAACTTAATAATGTACAAACTGGAGATTGCTCCTGCAAAAGTGAACGCCTTTGCCTTAAATCTAAAGTTATAATGGCAGTAATACTAAGTTTTGCTCAAGCATCAGTTAATGGGCAATTAGTTTTTATACAGAAATAAAAATGAAGAATTGTTGAGTGTTGAATTGCTGTTGTGATAAACAAGTTTGTCTCAACACACCCCATGCAAATCAATCTGAAGGGTATTGCATTTGATTACATAATCTGAATTTTGCTTAGTACATTTCTGTTAGACTATAATTGACTTGTTCACTTTTTTCCAGTACCAAGGTGGAAATGGGTCTAGCCCAGTAAGAGGAATGCCTCCTGCGATTCGCTCTCCTCAAAATTCACATTCCGCCCCTTCTTCCGTAAGTTTACTCTGTATAATTATCAGCTTATGATTCAGAAACGTTCATGACAGTCAAAACTAATCTTGCAGAGGCAGTGGCTTGATAGAGTGTTCCCTTAGAACAGGGAACGTTTGACCAGGACTGATGGAATTGGAAGTGCAACATGATCTGGAGAGCCACCGTTTCCCCAACCCTGCTTTAGAACGCACGCAAAAACACCAACAACCACTTTTATTGTATTGTTACTTTTTGTTCGCCTCCCTATTGGTAGTATGCTTGCATAGAAACCAGTGGTTGAGTCTTTCTGCCGGGCAGTGTGATAGGAGTGTTCTGTTACTTCTTTTTCAGGTCCACATGTTGGGGGTGGGTGGGGAGCCAGATCATAAATAACAGTGTAATGTTAGAAGTTATTAAATGGCCTTAATGCGGGATAGCCAATGATGCTCACGTGATTGAGAAATGGATTTCTGTTTGCATGATGGGACTTATCCCTCAACTCTCTGGAGCAGATTTTTGTGGAGTGCAGGAGGTGTAGCATCTAGGAGAGGAAAAAGAAGTCCCATTGTGTGAGCAGACATACCTGTATGTAGTTGAATGTTGCCCAATAAAATTATTCAAAGTGTCAAACTTTCATGATTTGTCAGTTCTTATGCTTGCACTTTTTGGAAATAATTGGCAAGAGCATTGAACGTGGGAACAGGTTCTTACTGTCGGGTTGCCATATTTCAAAAAGTGAAAATCCGGACACAAAAGTTGTTGAGCTTTTCTTAGTTTTGCCCAAAGTTATTGAGCTTCCCCACCCCCACCCCGGCAAAATCGCAAAACAGAGGGGAAAAAATTCAGTGATTTCCGCCCAGACACCGTATTCCAGTTATGTCCATGAAATTCTGGACGTATGGCAGCCCTGTCTTGCTGAGCACTGGGGTAGAATATTGCCAGAACATTTCCAGCCTCTCTCCTTATACGATCTGAAGAGAAACCAGAGTACTCCCCCCCCCCTTATCTCCTTTGAAAAATATTGCCTATTAAATTTTTTAATGCGGAGAGGGATCTGCAGGTAGTCAGCTGGGTTAATGATAATGCAGCTTGTAAAAAGGTGAAGGTCCAATCTAGAATGGTAAAATAGATTTCGCACATCCAGTTCTACCCGGTTAGAGAAATGTGAGACATTTTAAAATCTCAAGTTACTATATCTCACTGAGGAGAATTTTCCTTCTCCCCCCGTTCCCGGTCCTACTCCAGTACTGACAAAAGCTTCAGACTTTATCTTCTAGTAGCTGAGAAAATTGAAGCACTTCCAGTTAAATACCTCTGCACGTTTAATCTAATGAAACGATGGTGTCTTCAGTGGGTCTGGATTACTCCCCTGGTATTTCTCCCTCAATTCTGCTATAGGCAAAGAGCTAGCTCTTGGGAATCCCGTTGAATTAAAACAATTAAATGAAGGTGGAAATGCTACAAAAGAAATGTTTTCCTCTTCTCCCCATCCTCTTGCTCCTTCTTGTAACTATAGAATCCACAGGCATGTTCAGTTTACAGAAACAACCCCCCCCATACAGGTTGGCTTTTTCTTTAAAATAGAGTGTTTCCTCCTAATTCTTTTTTTACTAAAAGAAAATTGAGAGGGGTTTCAGTTATGCATATTTGGAAGATTGTCAGTCCTCTTTTCCCAAACATTTCAAGACACTTCCCCCCACCCCCAATGGATTTTGGTTTGTGTCTGGGGCACGTCTTTCCAGGCAAAGACACAGCGCTGCCATGAGCAATTTTCTTCCCCATACTTCTCCTAGGCGTCTGCGTCAGAGGTGGGAGAGAGCCACCTTCTGCTGTGTCCCCACAAAATAGTAGGGAGAAGCAATTCATGCTTGTCCTTGGACTGTTCTATTAAATTATTTCTTAGAAACCTCTAGGTAAGGTCTGCCATTGCTTAACTGTTCCCTTTCTGATGCAGCAGTTAGGGAGGCTGGTGTTTTTGTGTAGTGTTGCTTCAGAAACGAAGCGTTCAAATAGGGTTGCTATATCTTGAAGAGCAAAAAAGAGGACAGCCTCAGCTCAGGTTGGTCACGACTGCGGCATGCAGAGCAGACATTTTCTTTAAAATGTAAAAATTCACCCGGATGTGCGTGTTGGCCCCCCAAAAGAGGACATGTCCAGGTTTCCCCAGATGTATAGAAATTCTAACCAGCCATTACCATCTAAAGGAAGAATATTCCCTGATCATTTGTGGGGTGAAAAATATTTTCCCACATACCCTGTCTCAGCTACAATCTAGTAGTTGATGCGTTGTTGCCTGTTAAAACAGCTTTACCAACAAAGTGTCTCCAAGCATTTTTTTTTTTTTAAAGAAGAGCTGTTAATTTCCAAAGTTGTAATTTGTAGTGAGTGTCTTTGAAATAATATTGCGCACCAAAAGTATTAGAAGATGCAGCAAAAGCCACCAGTGGTTCCCCTAATTGCCTCCTCCCTATTGTCTGGAAAGTCTTTGCAGTTGCTGAGACAAGTAACCGGTTGCTAGAATTTGGATAGTGATACAGGACAAAAATGTTTCCATTAAGAATTAGCACATTTACAAACACAAGTCTCAAGTCTATTGAAAAATAAATTGGTACTACCTGAGGATCTGAACCTGTCCAATGCAAAAGGGGTGAGGTGTAAGATACAGAGGTCCCTTGGTTCTGCGCTGTCTCTCAGAGACCAATTTATGTTGCTGTATCCATGCAGTTGCCTTATATGATAGTCTTACTACCCCCTTAGAGACCGTTTGAAATGGTATTTTCTCTGAAGGTGCATGAAATGATTTCCCCCCGTTCATTATAAAATAAATAAATTGGGGACAGTTCTGACATTGGTGGCAGAGGCAAATGGTGACTTTGTAACATTCCCTGCAGACGATATTCTCATGTACCATGAGGAAGTTTCTGTCCTCTGAGATCTGAATAGTGTAGCTTTTAGTACTGGAGAATGAAGAGTCATGTGTATTCCAGTTGTAGGTACTTACTCCTTTTAGTAGAAGAAATAAATGGCTGGTTTTTATTCATGGTCTGGCTACCACTGATTCCAAGCATTTCAGGTGTGGGGAGGGTGAAAGAGGACAATGTCTGACCAGGCAGTTTCCCTTATTTTAGCAATTTACTTCGTTCTTATTTCTGCTTTACAGTTACATGTAAATCTTATATTTTATCCGTGCACATTTAGGTTCGACAGAATAGTCCTTCTCCTACTGCGTTATCTTTTGGGGACCACCCTGTTTCACAACCAAAGCAGTTGTCATTTAAAATTACTCAGGTGAGCACTCTGGATTGTAATTCTATGCTTAATGCTGAAAATACATGAAGCCATTCTGTTTCATTATTCTACACGCATACACATTAGTTCTGATTTGTAACTTAGAAAAGGTGGCGCGTAGTTAAAGCTAAACTTGAAGTGTTTGTTACAGTGAAAGATTGAGAGTAAATAGAAGCAAGCCATTCTTCGTCTCTATATTTTACTCCCATTCCCAGCATAACAACACGTGATGTGCCTAGGGAGATTACAAAAATATATATATGGAGTACAATTTCAGGATGGATGCTTTGGGATTTAAGGTCTCGAGATTCTGATAGATGGAAATGACAACATCAACAAGAGTTATTATTATTAAAAAATTTATACCGCCCTTCGTAGATCTTAGGGCAGTTCACTACATAAAAATACAAGGTAAAAACCACAAAATACATAATAACAAGATTAAAATGGAAAAGCAGGGTGCAGGTAACTTTTATCAAGGCTGTGTAAAGTAAAGGTAAAGGTACCCCTGACTGTTAGGTCCAGTCGTGGACGACTCTGGGGTTGTGCGCTTATCTTGCTCTATAGGCCTAGGGAGCCGGCGTTTGTCCGCAGACAGCTTCTGGGTCATGTAGCCAACATGACTAAGCTGCTTCTGGCGAAACCAGAGCAGCGCATGGAAATGCCGTTTACCTTCCCGCCGGAGCGGTACCTATTTATCTACTTGCACTTTGACGTGCTTTCAAACTGCTAGGTTGGCAGGAGCTGGGACAGAGCAATGGGAGCTCACCCCGTTGCGGGGATTCAAACCGCCAACCTTCTGATCGGCAAGCCCTAGGCTCAGTGGTTTAGACCACAGCGCCACCCACATAAAAATAACAAACTAAAACTTCACAGGAATGTAAGCTGCGTTGTGCTGATTCAGACAATTTCTCCATTTAGTTGTGTTGTCCACACTGACTAGCAAGCAGCAGCTGTCGAGGCTTTTAGTTGGGATTCTTTCACAGCCGTCTCTGCCTGTGGAAGGGTTCGGTTTCTAGCTCCTCCAAAGTATGTGTTCTACCACTGAACTGTAGTCCAATTGTACAGAGTTGGCCGACACGGTGCCCTCTAGGTTTTGAACTCTAGCCCCCATCAACCAACCCCAGTCAGCAAGAGCAATAGGCAGGGAACATGGGAGTGTTGACATTTCCATTCCACCTTAAGGAGCAGACGTGTGGAATTGTTGCGTGTCACATGTCTGTTTACATTCCAGCACAGCTTGCTGGGAACTTCTGTTGTGTATAGCTTTTGCTTTTTCCCTATACTCTCCGAGACGACGAGAGAGACGACATGTTTCTTTGTCCTGATTTATGATTAATAAATCTGTAGTTGTGGTATGCTTCTACAAGCCTCCCGCCTATTCTGTGTGCGCAGTTCACTGTGCTGATAGTGTGCCCTGGCTTTAAAGCCCAGGTCGCTGATTTACGTCGGAGCAGCTGCCAATGGTCTTCGAAGCAGGAAGACTAGAAGGAGACGGTCCAGCTGGGGCTTGCCAGCTGGCTTCCCAGCCTTCTGCATTCCGACAGGGAGTTGTAGTTCAGAACACCTGGTGGGCACCACATTGGCTCTCTGTGTTGCAATTTAACAGATTCCCTTAGGTCCAGAATGCTTGTGAAGCAGCGGAAGTGTGTGCCAGGTGAGGTGTTCCTCGCTATAGTTTTCTCTTTTAACTTGCAGGGACTCAAAACAGAAAGGTGGCATAGCCATTTGTGCAACCTGGCATGACTGTGACCGGTGCTGCCTCTTCTCTTGAGTCATGTATCCACCCAGTTCAGCACAATCTGGATTATACAAAAGGCATATTGCTCATTTCCTTCTTCTAAGAAAGGGAAGAATTTAGAGCTGCCGCTCTTCAGGCTTCTGACAGTATTTGCTATTTTGCCTAAGCTGAATAAGTTAGTGGTAAATTAAAAGGCTGCATTCTGATGGAACTTAGATGGAATTTGATAAATATTTGCTTTCCACTTCCCTACTATTTATTTTCTTTAATGTAGACTGATCTCACAATGTTGAAATTAACTGCACTTGAAAGTAATAAAAACCAAGACCTGGAAAAGAAGGAAGGTCGTATAGACGATTTGCTCAGGGTAAGTACGATAACGGTAAGATTAAGAGAGAAATATAGGGTTACTTACACTGCTTTTAAAATGGCAAATTACTTGTATTGCATTTGACTTAAGCTATCAGAAAGACATATAAATGTATTCTTGCCAACGTACTTATAATACTGTATCCTCCAAACTCTAGGAATCTTTTTTGGGGGGTGGGGGGTGGACTGATACCATATTTTTAATACCTGGAGAAAGAGAAGGCACGGCTTTGGGTCTATATGTATACAATTTATAATTGGCACTCCTCATTTCCTGTATTTGTGATTTGTTCATGCTCAAAAAATCTTTAGGAAAAAAGCCCTAAGAATTCAGTGGTATAGATCTGACTGAGCAAGGTGGGTGGGAGATGATTAGGTTGGGAGGGGAACTGAGTAGCTGGAAAGAAGACACACAGAGAGATTTTAAGAAAGTTAGAATGTACCACCTCATTAGGTCACTTCCTGGTTCACACTTGAAAGCTATTTTAATCAGAAATGGAAAGGAGAGTTGCCCAAAGATATGAATGGAAAAGTGAAATATTTTAATATAGCTGGGATTTGGACACAAGTGTGTCACCCAACCTATGCTGCGGAGAACTCAAAAACAGGCCAATGAGGACTGAGCCTGGAATGCTGTGTGTGTGTGTGTGTGTGTGTGTGTGTGTGTGTGTGTGTGTGTAATGGATGGAGAATAAATGAGAAATGGAGATGGAGGATAGAATAGGACAGCTGAGACCCTATTCCAGAAGCTTTCGGCCTTGCAGCATTTTATCGCAGGGCCCCACTGGTTACAAATACAATTTCATTTGATTCTTAGGCTAATTGTGACCTACGACGACAAATAGACGAACAACAAAAGCTACTTGAAAAATATAAAGAAAGATTAAACAAATGCATTTCAATGAGCAAGAAGCTTTTGATTGAAAAAGTAAGTTGGATTTTTAAATATATTTTTTGTTCAGTATCCACAGTGAAGAATACTTTGTCATCCTAATCCTGTAAATCAGGTTAAACTGCAATGGCATGAGCTGCAGTTTGTGTCATTTCAGTAAAAACCCGATCCAGTCAGCAGTAAGGTGGGTCAGATACCTGTGTCCCCTTCTTACTGTAGCAGTGCAGGAAACTGCTTCTCTGGGTTGATTCCCACACAGCAAGAGAGAGGAACTGTGTAAGGTGGGGGCAGATGTATGGATTTGTCTCATAGGTAGATCTTCCCTCCAGGATGAAATGAGGAGATGAATTAACGGACAAGAGGAGGTTGTTGTGTTCATACAGTGGTACCTCGCAAGACGAAAAACGCGCAAGACGAAAGAGTTTTCCGTTTTTTGAGTCGTTCCGCAAGACAAATTTCCCTATGGGCTTACTTCGCAAGATGAAACGTCTTGCGAGTTCTTGCAAGTTTGTTTCCTTTTTCTTAAAGCCACTTAGCCGCTAAGCCGTTAATAGCCGCTAAGCCGCTAATAGCCGTGCTTCGCAAGACGAAAAAACTGCAAGACGAAGAGACTCGCGGAACGGATTAATTTCGTCTTGCGAGGCACCACTGTATGTAAGAAGAGGTAGAAGAACTACTACCCTGATGGTGCTGTATTTAAACACAGAAATAGATCCCTGGGTCCTGGGATCAAATTCCAACTGGTATGAGGGAGAGTCATTATAAAATAGGCTTAATTGGGAACTATTTAGAAAACTGGAAGAGGTTTTTCCCCCCTTCTGATGCAAAGTGGAAATAGCACTCTTTCCTCTCCTCCTTTGAGAGTAGCAAACCTGTCCAGAATACAGTCTTTTTTTCAGGAACAGGAGGAGCCTTTAATAAAGAATGCAGAAGGTTTCAGCTTTCAGCGCTCTCATATTTGCCTTGCTTGATACCACAAGCACAAACCAGTAAGGCACTCACAAAGATACGCAAGCAACTGCATTCTGCTTGGCGTTAGCAATCTCACCTGATGTGCTAACTGGGTGGGTGGTGAGCTGCTACTCTCTCCCCCCCTTGCTGAGGAAAATGCAATACCCTCACAAAATGGAAGCCTTGAAGGAAGGTATCTTGGATCCTTGCGCAACAAAATAAGCGTCAGTGTTGCATTTCTTGTGGCAAAAATCCGTTGCTGAGAAGGAAGGGCTCTAAACTTAACTGGTGATATTTTTGATTTCCTTAGAGCACACAAGAAAAGCTGGCAAGCAGAGAGAAGAGTATGCAAGACAGATTACGCCTTGGGCATTTTACGACTGTTCGACACGGCGCATCGTTTACCGAACAGTGGACAGATGGCTTCGCATTTCAGAATCTTGTGAAGTTAGTCAATATTGTGTTTTTAAATTGTTCGTAATTACTAGCTCCAAGGAGTGGGTGTTTTTATGTAAAACTGCCGGCTTTGGGATTACTTTTTACACACATCATGGTATTCAGGCTTTTTTAAAAAGGGGGGGGGGAGGAAATCCCAGAATACAGTAGAGAATTGACTTAATCAGTTGTCTGTTGAATTTCTTACATTTGGTGATTTTGAAAGCAAACACATGAGTAGGTTTGCATGAATTTCTCAGTGAGTCTTGAAAACAAAGCAGACTTTTAGAACATGTAGATTAATGACTCTCAGCTTGACCCATGCATCTACAATATATGAAGTACTTTGAGCTATTGGTGTGCTTGTTTACCATAAAGGAGCAGCAACAAGTAAATGAGAACCTAGTTGACTTGACTGCACTTCCACTAGCATAAAATAGGGAATAGGAGAGGGAGAGTCTGTAGTTGCTGGTAAAATGGTCGCCTCAGTAACATAATTTAGCAGAGACTTGGCAGAGAAGGGAATGACTGAGAAGGTGTATAGGTAGAATCAGAGTGAAGAAAAGTAGAATTCTTGTGTTTTAATTTCATGGTTTGAATAGAAGGATGTCATGTGTAGTCCCTCTGTTGTAATGTTACTAAGCCATAGTTAAGAAGATGGCTTGGGATGCCTCTTGCAGTTGGCACGCATGTCAGAGAACCCTGATTACTTTGCATGTTGGATTCGACATCTTACATGTGTCTTGCACAAATTCTTTTTTTAACCAAGCTTCTGGAACTATTCGTCTTGTAATTCAGTTATTTGAATGAAGAAAACATGGCCTATACAGTGGTACCTTGGTTTGCAACCGTTTTGGATTACAACCATTTTGGATTACAACCACGTCAAACCCAGAAGTGCATGTCCCTTTTTTTTGGATTACAACCCCCCCCCTTTTTTTTGGAGGCCCCATTGGCGAAAGCGTGCCTTGGGTTATAACCTGTTTTGGTTTACAACCGGACCTCCGGAACAGATTATGGTTGTAAACCAGGGTATCACTATAATGGAGATGTGGAGAATATTTGGGGGCCTGTGACCTGTGCCAGGTCAAACTTGGCCCGCAGACTAGAGGTTCTCCACTCCTGCTTTAGGGAATCAGCTTAAATCCACAAGCGTTAAAACGTGTTTTTTAAAAATAAAAATAAAAAAATCAAGTCTGAAAATCATCTTAAAACAATGCTTTGGGTTTGCAGGCAACAGGAGTGGGTAAATCAACAAAGGGAAGATATAGAGAGGCAAAGAAAACTTCTGGCAAAGCGAAAACCTCCTGCTACAAATAATTCTCAGGCGCCCTCTGCCAATTCAGAACCTAAGCAGAGGAAAAACAAAGCTGTCAATGGAGCAGAAAACGATCCGTTTGTTAGACCCAATTTACCACAATTGTAAGTTCATACTTCTTTTCTAATTATGTATTGAGTATTTGTCATGATGGTGCCACAACCACCTGTTTGTAGTCATTCGGAAAGTTGGAAAGCTAAATTTTTCTCCCTGCTTGTAGTGGCCCTGGTGTTGTGGCTTGGGGGGCGTGTTCCAACGACGTGTGTCTTCCAAAAGTGTTGTTAATTGCAGCTTGCTTGTTTTATCCCACAGAGCTCTATAGGGCCATTTCCAAAGCCTGCCCTCTGTGTTCTGTATTTTAGTTATGACAAGGGAGGGAAGTGATTTTTGTATATGATGCTTATTTTGGTTTAGAGTCGGCAAAGTGGTGTAAGATATGTAGGTGTTCCAATGAATACTAAAGCTTGGGTCCCAGACTGGTACTTGCTGAATCTAGGACGTCAATAATTCAGACTTTTGGCTTCAAGTACCCTTTCTATTTAAGAACATCACCGTGTAATCTGTTGCTCATTCCTATAAATGCAACATGACTTTGCACTTTATTCTAAATGTGCAGTCCCACATTATTACAAATACCTAATATCTCTTTGTCATCCTAATATAAGATGCCTTGTCGACCAATAGCATTTAGCACATACTGCAATATCAGCTGCGTTTGATTCAAACACCAAAGAGGAGTTACGGGAATTACACTGTTCTTTGATACCTCCCTGTATCTTTTAGGTAGGAGTGTGGATACAATTTTGGTATCAGAACATTTTGTTCCACATTAAGCTTCTGGTCATTCAGAATGTAGCGGATTCTACAAGATGCTGGAGGAATTGGCTTTCTGTGTTATGAATTGGAAATAAAATACGTTTTTCCCCATTCAACTTTTAGTAACATGTACTGTGACTTTTTGTGTGCAACTTTGGATTAAAATGGTTTGTTATCTATGGTAATTCCTGCAGGCTAACACTAGCAGAATACCATGAGCAAGAAGAAATTTTCAAGCTTAGATTAGGACATCTCAAAAAGGTATGTTTAAACTGGATCTTTTTTCTGATCACACAGTACTGTAACCATAGACTCTACCCTATTGGTTATAGATATGATCCAAGTAAGCTGTTTAAGATTGAAAGAACCATGCCTGTAGCAGGAGCATGCTTTAAAATACTATATAGAGCTGCTCAGATAGTCAAAAGTCGTATGTCACTTTTAAACTGAAAGGTGATTTTGCATCGCTTGTGAAAACGTCAGTATTTTGTGTCTTGCATTATACCATGAAGAATAGCCATTCTGTTAAATGTCTAGTTTTTAATCTAAATTCCATGCTGTCATTTTGAATGACAAGAGGAAGGTATACGTAAGTTACACGTTGGTAATATTAACAGTTGCTATAAGAATGTGTCAGTTAATATTATAAAGTCAGTAATCTGCATTTTTGGGACACACCACTACACTGTATACTCAGTACTTGTACTTCTTAAAAATTAGCAGTGGTAAACTTATTGTTCAGTTAATAAGATCAGCTTGATTGACCTTTTTTAAGAGTACTGCTCCATTTTGGACAGTGGAAGCTTGTAGTTTGCTAAGGAAGGTATTATGCAGAAGAACATTCTTCAGGAAAAACACTGCCATCTGTTTTGTTGCTCTTTCAACTCTAAGAAAAATGCTATCCCATAAGAGAGTAGATAAAGATTGATTTTTAAAAGTAAAATATTTCTTTAAATTCAAACTTCTATTTTTAAATGTAAATAACTTGTTCAAATTTTGTGTGTGTGTGTATACCTTATAGTCAGTCTCTAAACTGATTTAATGTCCTCTACCAGATACATTAGGGATGTGAGTGGCGCTGTGGGTTAAACCACAGAGCCTAGGACTTGCCGATCAGAAGGTCGGCGGTTCGAATCCCTGCAATGGGGTGAGCTCCCATTGCTCGGTCCCTGCTCCTGCCAACCTAGCAGTTCAAAAGCACGTCAAAGTGCAAGTAGATAAATGGGTACTGCTCCGGCAGGAAGGTAAACGGCGTTTCCGTGTGCTGCTCTGGTTCGCCAGAAGCGGCTTAGTCCTGCTGGCCCCATGACCCAGAAGCTGTACGCCGGCTCCCTCGGCCAATAAAGCGAGATGAGCGCCCCAACCCCAGAGTCGACAAATGGTCAGGGGCCTCTTTATCTTTACCTTTACCTTTTACCAGATACATTGGCTTAAAGGAGGTTTTTCTTATTGAAGAGCCAATTTGATAAATTCTCAAATATGAAAATGGTTTTGTAGCCTAATTTTCTGCTTATCTTTTATACACATCACCTGTCTCCACATACATATCATTTATACATATCATTCGCCTCTACATGACCAGGCAGGCACAAAAGTTTTTGAACTTGTTCAGTTATGAAACTGTTTGTTTGGGTACTATCCCCATTGTTGCAAGAAAAAAATGGAATACATCAACTAGAGGCTTGAAATTAGGTGTATGTCTTTCATTTTCTCTTTCAAATGTTGAGATCCTGAAACAAACAATTCCCTGGTTATCAGCTGAGAGAGGGATAAAAAGTAAACAAACCAACAAACCTTGAGATTTCATAAATTATTTGTTTTGATTTGCAGGAAGAAGCTGAAATACAAGCAGAACTTGAACGTCTGGAAAGAGTTAGAAATCTTCACATACGAGAGCTCAAAAGAATAAACAATGAAGATAATTCTCAGTAAGGCACTAGATTTTAATCTTGCATACTTACTCTTCTCCACTTCACTCTGGAATAAATGACACACAGATATCCGTGCCTCAACTCTGCAAAACCTGTTTTTGTTTTTATACAAGCAGTACACTTACAACAACAACAACAACAACAACGAATGTATTTTAAGTTGAATCAGATGATCCAGAACTATAAGAATGAAACACTGCACTTCAGTTTTTTATTTTTTTTGCATACACAAAAATAATTAGTATTAAAATTAAGTACTTGCCTTTCTCATTGACCAATGTTCTTCCTTCTTTTTTTTAATAATAAGGTTCAAGGATCATCCTACGTTAAACGAGCGATATTTGTTACTTCATTTACTTGGTCGAGGTGGATTTAGTGAAGTATATAAGGTAATGTCCTCTTCTTTGCTGGTAATATTTATTTATTTTTTAAATGTATGCCTACCGACATAGGTGACCCTCTCTAGAACCAATTCACTGAAAAACATTTTAAACAACAAAACTATATCAACTTAAAAGTATACAAATAACCTCTCCAGGTTTTCCTGAACAACTAAAACTGGTAGCAGGATAGAAAAATATAAAAGTCAATCTGTGTCCAGAGAATACCCAAACCTTTCAGCTCAAGCTTTGGTTGCAAAGAGCTGTACAGTGGTACCTCGGGTTACATACACTTTGGGTTACAGACTCCGCTAAACCAGAAATAGTACCTCAGGTTAAGAACTTTGCTTCAGTATGAGAACAGAAATCGTGCTCCAGCAGTGCGGCAGCAGCAGGAGGCCCCATTAGCTAAAGTGGTGCTTCAGGTTAAGAACAGTTTCAGGTTAAGAACGGACCTCCGGAACAAATTAAGTACTTAACCTGAGGTACCACTGTATTGGAATAAGCATAGAGAAGGCAGAATGCCTTTTCTAAGCTGGTACCTGCTTTTTTTAAAGTGATCTGTACATACATTTGAAAACTCTGTGTAATTTTTCTTCAGAAATATGGGCCTCGTTTGAACGGCTTAGATTTCCCATGGTTTAGTGTTACGAGGGAGGTTAGTTTCAACGAAACGTAGTTAAGATTAACCACAGTTTAGAGTTTGAGCGACATGCTAAACTGCAGGTTATTTGAAACTGAAGCTTGGTGACCCCTTACAGTTGTGCTGAGATGGTTGTGAAGGAGCGCTCAGCTTGCTGAAACATGTTCCCATAATGCTAAGAACACGTGTGAAGGCGGCTGGTGCCCTTGGTCTGTACATTGCAGTAAACCAGATCTTGTCTATAGCTTGCCGTTGGCGAGGAGAGAGCTTAACCAGTTTGGATGACGCACTAAGCCAAACCTTGGCTTGGCTTACCACAGTGCAGGAGGAAGAGCAAAAAGACTGTGAGGGCCTCTCCAGGAACCCGCAATCCTGGTAAACTATAGTTTGGTTTACCTACCCTATCACGTGAACCAGGCTACAGTGGTACCTCGGGTTACATACGCTTCAGGTTACATACACACTGGGTTACAGACTCCACTAACCCAGAAATATTACCTCAGGTTAAGAACTTTGCTTCAGGATGAGAACAGAAATTGTGCAGCAGCAGCAGCAGCAGCAGCACGAAGCTCCATTAGCTAAAGTGGTTCTTCAGGTTAAGAACAGTTTCAGGTTAAGAATGGACCTCCGGAACAAATTAAGTACTTAACCCGAGGTACCACTGTATTATAGTGTGTGTTCCTCTGCAGTCTGAATCAGTCAGAAAAGGGGTGACCAAAATGGTCAGGACTCTGGGGCAACTCTCCTGTGAGGAATGGTTACAATGGTTGGGGCTTTGAAAAGGTTGTGTCAGGAAAATATTTGAGGTCTTTAGGATTTTATGCATGCTCTTTCATAAAGATAGAGGAGGACCAAGCATTATCCAGTGAAGCTGAATGACGGGAGGCACCGAACAGACAAAAGGAAATACTACGCCATGGTGGATACTTAAACTATGCAATCTGCCAAGACAAGATGTGGTGACTAAAAGGGGATTAGACAAATTCAAGGAGAATAAAGCTATCCCATCAGGATAGTTGTACACTCATTCCAGGCTGCCTGTGAATACCAGTTGCTTTAGAGCAAAAGCAGAAGAGGACTGTTGCATTCGTGTTCTGCCTTTGTTGCCTTCTCATAGACTGTGGGAGGTTACAAATCTGTAAATTTTAAATAATGTTTACCTGCTTTGAGTATTTGATCTGGGAACAATCAAGGAAAAGCTTGTGGGCCAATTAATAATAAGCAGTATTTATTCATTATGACAACTGCTTTTTAGTATTTTGAATTAGTAAATGCATGAGTACTGATCACTCTATTTGAAGTGAATGTTCAGACTAGGAGATAGTTTAAGAGCAAGTAACCAGGCCATCTCTCAATGTGTAGGAGTGATAGGGAGAGCAGTTTATTTGGCCCCAAAGGCAGATTATGTACAGTGTCCTGGTTGTTGAAATAAGCAAAAATTAGAAAGGTGCCAGACAAATTATCTGACTCTTCTGAGACCATTAACAATAGCATGTTGGCTTCTGAAAAGCTTATGAGAAAACAGTCAATTAAAAATTCAAGGTTTTTTTTCCAGTATTGGGCCAGATATGATGTATTGCACTCTCAAGCTATATTGAAATGTTAATAAATACAGTTCTCTGTGACTCGTATTTTACAAAATCTCTTTCTACTACTTCCCCCCCCCCAACCTTCCTTGCAGGCTTTTGATCTCTATGAGCAAAGATACGCTGCTGTGAAGATACACCAGCTTAACAAAAGCTGGAGAGATGAGAAAAAGGAAAACTACCATAAGTAAGCGTTTCAAGAAAACACTTTTTTTTGGTCTTTGTAACAAATTAAAGCTGTTCTGGTGGTCGTGATTATTTTACCTATGTCTTCTAGGCACGCCTGCAGAGAGTATAGAATACACAAAGAACTTGATCATCCAAGGATAGTAAAACTCTATGACTACTTTTCCCTGGATACAGATACGTAAGTCTCTCTCTCTCTCTCTCTTTCTCTCTCTCTGTCTCTCTTTCTCACACACACACACACACACACACACACACACACCAGTTAGAAATTAAGACCACCCTTCAGGAACATTTTTGGTTGGACATAAGTAAGGTTTAAATTTCATGGTGTTTGGCCTCAGTGGCTCAGTATTTTCTCTAGTATGATGTTCTGAATGCTGTGGCATTGATTATTGTTCAAGTACAGTGGTACCTTGGTTGTCGAACGGCTTGACTCCCGAACAATTTGGCTCCCGAATGCCCCAGTTTGTGAACGTTTTTCAGAAACCGAATGTCCAACTCTGTTTCCAATTGAGTGCAGGAAGGGCCTTGGTTTTCGAAGAAATGATTAAGTTCGACAACCAAGGTACCATTGTAGATGGTTCCAGTTTCTTTTGTAAAGTGAAAATGTGATTTCTCCATTTGTGCATACAGTGGTACCTCGGGTTACATACGCTTCAGGTTACAGACTCCGCTAACCTAAAAATAGTGCTTCAGTTTAAGAACTTTGCTTCAGGATGAGAACAGAAATTGTGCTCTGGTGGCGCAGTGGCAGCAGGAGGCCCCATTAGCTAAAGTGGTTCTTCAGGTTAAGAACAGTTTCAGGTTAAGAACGGACCTCTGGAACGAATTAAGTACTTAACCCGAGGTACCACTGTATTCCAAAAAGTTTTCGTATCAATTCTTCTCTCATTGGGACCTCGTCTTCTTTTTTTCAATTTCTAGGCAAGTAACATTCTTGCAGCTGTTGTTGCATACGTAAATATGTTTCTGTACTGTTTAGGTAGTTCTACCCCTGTAATTCCCAAGAGGAAAGCAAAACCTGCTGGAAGAATTAAGACATCAAGATAACAAACTTTTTTATAAAAGAATGGACATGGTTTATTGACTATTCACAAACAATTGGAAACAGATAAAGACATTGGCAGGGATTGTTGTAATAACCTGCTGCTTTAAAAAGAATATAGAATTAAAAGAAATAAATAGAAGGATAAGTTAATTTAGGATATGCAGGAAATGATAAAAGAAATTGAAGGAACTGCAGAAAGAGGAGGAAGGAAGTCGATTGTTTGAAATGTTACAATTTTTTTAAAACTATTGAAATGTATACAATTGCAAACCATAAATAAAAGTTAAGTGAAAATGTGCAATTAATGCAAAGAAATGATGTTCCTATTTCCATTGTATGCTTGAATAATTAAATAGCCTTTGTTTCCTTATCTAACTTTTATTTTTTCCCTTTCTAGGTTTTGTACAGTATTAGAATATTGTGAAGGCAACGATTTAGATTTCTATCTCAAGCAACATAAACTAATGACAGAAAAAGAAGCTAGGTCCATTGTAATGCAAATAGTAAATGCACTGCGATATCTCAATGAGATTAAGCCACCTATAATACACTATGATCTTAAACCAGGTAAATAAGAATGGGGGGGGGGGGGGAATCAAACATCATACATTGTATATTATATCTCTAAAACACATTCTTCTCTTAATTCTTAACTAGTGTAGCGCCTGCCTCTGTCTTTCTTTATTAAACCCATCTGAGTTCACATTGGCCTTGATTTTCTTTTATGGTATGTGAAGGGAAGCTTTGCTCCTGCGCATGACTGTGGCATGATGGGAAGTTTTGCTTCTAAGCTTTTCTTCTGCACATGCTGCACAAACCGTTCTAATACTAAGACATTCCCTCATCACCCTAGAATGTTCAGTTCATATTGAGTTCATGATGACATTATACTCTGACCTGTTCTTAATGCATAGTTGACCACATCTACGCGATTGTTATGTTCTTTCATGTCATGCAAAATCAATCATTAGTAATAGTTTAAGTCTTGATACTCAATCACTAGTTAATAGTTTAATGAGGAGGTTTCACGCCTGTCCAATTCTGTGTTCCCTTTCCCAACCTTTAATCTATCGATGATTAATACCTATATTCAACCTTTGCATTGTATTCATGTTAACCAATCAGCAACAAGCACATATGTGGTAATGCTGTAATATTCAATAAAAGGGACTCTCCGAGACATGCTCGAGAGATGCCTCCCGTATGACACCTTGCCATTCGTCTGTCGATTATTTCAACCCAGCAGGTATGAGTGCTTGGAATACAGGAGAGGTGTCTCTTTTAATCTCTGTTGTCTTTAATCCTTAACAAAAATGTGAATTTAGTTTTATCACACTGCTTCATTTAATCACACTCTTCTTTTTTTCTAGCCTCACAAACCTATTCTCTCTTTTCTGCTCTTTGCTTTGAAGGCAAATTTGCGCACTCTGCCCCCTCACCCCGCTACTTAATGTTTTGGCTTCCACACTGAGCTATTTCGATGGATGTCTTCCATATTCTGTATGAATTTGGCTTCAATAGGATTTTCTTGAATCTTAAGCCACTGTGTGTGCTTAATTATAATTAGAAATGGATTGAAGTAGCAATAAAACATCATCTTTGAATGTGGCTTGAAGTATATATTTGATATGTGTACAATTTTATATCTGCAGCGTTTAGCTCCTTGTGCCATGCGCTTGACCTCACAGACTTTATAATGAGGTGCAAAACCTCACATGCATGATTTGCCTTCAGTAAACCAGAAGTATAGTTAATTAGGTATTTTTCATTTGAATATGCAGGTAAATAATACTGCACACATGCCTCTTTCACCCAGTTTTTGAGTCTTATTCTTGTGTAGATCACTACCTAATATATTTTTTTATTCGGTAAATGAAAAAGCGTTCAGGCAGCTTTAGAAGTCCAAGCTTAGCTAAGGCAAATGGGATAGTACTGGGAAAATACTGAAAGAGCCAGCATTGCAGAAAACACACAAAGATCTGACGCATCTACACGGTGCAGAGTTAGCACAGTACAGTCATACCTTGGATCCAGAATGCCTTGGTACTCAGACGTTTTGGCTGCCCAACGCCACAAACCTGGAAGTGAGTGTTCCGGTTTGTGAATGTTCTTTGGAACCCGAACGTCCGACGGGGCTTCCGCGGCTTCTGATTGGCTGCAGGAGCTTCCTGCAGCCAATCAGAAGCCGCGTTTTGGTTTCCGAATGTTTTGGAAGTCAAATGGACTTCTGGAACGGATTCCTTTCAACTTCCAAAGTACAACTGTATTATGAAAACTTGGGAAGAATTAACTTTAACCAAACTGTAGCTGTCCTTTGAAAATCCATGGCTCCAATTCTCCAAGAGATTGTTGAGACACAACTGCCTCTGCTCACAGGATGGGGCAGTTCTGTGAATATATGAGGAAGACGGAACCATATGCAGCACCTTGAGCCCCGTGGAGGAAATATATAATAATAATATAATAAATATAATAATAAATGAATGAACCATAGATGTGCCTATAACTAGGGTGTTTCTGTTCTATAATGTCTTCATTTAAACACAATGGAAAAATTGTGAACCACTGCTGGGGGTAGACTTGGTTATTTTAACAAACTCTCTGCCTCTTGATAGGAAACATCCTTTTGGTAGATGGAACAGCATGTGGAGAAATAAAAATTACGGACTTTGGGCTGTCTAAAATAATGGATGACGATAGCTATGGTGTGGATGGAATGGACTTAACTTCACAAGGGGCTGGGACATACTGGTAATATTATTATTTCCCATTTGGCAAATGTATTTCTTACTTGTGTGAGAACTGTGTGTAAACCTCTGCCGGCGGATGTAGTTGATGGAAAGAATGTGCTGTCGTTGGTTATTTGAGCTTATAACCTGACGGTAGAAGTCTGGATTCAACCCTCGAGTCCCACTAGTGAAAAAGCCCGCACAATGGCTTCTGCTAGTGCAATGGGACTTTCCACCCAGGTCCCAACAAATTGCATTTGTGGGGTCAGGAGAATCCTAAGGGGAGCAGGGGGGGTAGTTCTGCCTGGCGAGCTGAAATGTTTGTACTGCTGGAACAATTGCTGTAGCGCTGTGTTGAATTCCTTCTACAGAATTAATCTTCTCTAATGCATGGAGATTAGTAGTTATTTAATCTTCAATTCTTTTATTAATTGTTATCATCAAGGTTTTATTGTCTGGTTTCTAGCTGAGGAATGATCACCTTCATTTAGTGCAAACTTGGTGTAGTTTAACATACAGTATTGGTCACTGATGGAAGAAGGGGATAGTGGCAGAAATGTAGGGTTTAAAAAAAAATATCTGGTACAGTAGTTAAGGTTTCTACTGGAAATATGGGAATTGTTATGTACTTTATTATTATCAGAAACAGCATCTCTCCAATGTAGATTATAGTGAATGAATTATTTCTGTTTATTGAGTAGTATATGTTTGCTTATATGTGTTTAGGAATTTCTAACCTAACTTGTCTGCTTTCAAGGCAGCTTAAACCACACTACAGTCATCTGGTCCGAAATTCAGGCTCCTCACTTTTTTTTATTCTGTTCCATAACTTCCTGGTTTGGCATACCATAATCTGTTTCACCTAAAGTGGCTAACTGTGATTTGTGCTTGCTATCCAAACCAGATGTGGGTGGCGCTGTGGGTTAAACCACTGAGCCTAGGACTTGCCGATCAGAAGGTCGGTGGTTCGAATCCCCGCGACGGGGTGAGCTCCCGTTGCTCGGTCCCAGCTCCTGCCAACCTACCAGTTCAAAAACACATCAAAGTGCAAGTAGGTAAATAGGTACCGCTCCGGCGGGAAGGTAAACGGCATTTCCGTGCGCTGCTCTGGTTCGCCAGAAGCGGCTTAGTCATGCTGGCCACATGATCCGGAAGCTGTACGCCGGCTCCCTCGGCCAATAAAGCGAGATGAGCGCCGCAACCCCAGAGTCCTCCGTGACTGGACCTAATGGTCAGGGCTCCCTTTACCTTATCCAAACCAGAATTGGAAGCCATTTTTTGAAGTGTGGTTCCAATCCTGGTTTGTAGAGCAGACACAAATCACAGCTTGTCAGTTGAGATGTAACGACAAACAGTGTTTTGCCCAAACTGGGAAGTGTTTGAAAATCAGAGTGCATAAGTGAAGGGAGTCCATGAACTTAACAAACAGGTTATCATGTGAATTGACCAATACCACGTAAATCTATAAAAAAATAGTAATCCTGGAACAAATAGAAGAATGTGAGAAAGCCATTAGATTCTTGGCAATCTGTATCTCTCATAAATACTTCCAAAAATCAGCCTGCTTCTGGAGGGGGAATGTTCTTAATGTGTCTGTTTTCAGTGACTGAGTTTCTATTTTTTCTATCAGGTATTTGCCTCCAGAGTGCTTTGTTGTGGGCAAAGAGCCACCCAAAATTTCTAACAAAGTGGATGTGTGGTCAGTTGGAGTAATCTTTTTCCAGTGTCTATATGGTCGAAAGGTAAAAACAAACCCTTAAACGTAAAGTTTTCTAGTGCATTTCAGTACATCTTCAACGTGGTCTTTTTGAAGGGGGGAAAAACCATTTCTGGAAGTAGGTATGGTTCTTCAGCCTCCACCATTTGCGTTTTCCCAACAAGGAGAACTTCTTTTTAAGTGGAATAATTTTAGAATAAAAAAGGTGATGTTGCTGATTTCTTTTACTGATATTTGGACATTTAGCAATCACTGTCTGAACTTTTCCCTTTCTCCAGCCATTTGGTCATAACCAGTCCCAACAAGATATACTTCAAGAAAATACAATATTAAAAGCCACTGAAGTACAGTTCCCAGTGAAGCCTGTTGTGAGCAATGAAGCCAAGGTAATATTCATGGACCCAAGGTATACATTCTGCTAGAATATGATGTAATCAACCTCGAGATGGATTTTGCTTCAGGGTTAAGGTCAAGAGATAACGTTGAGGCAAATTGTAACAAAATTTGTGTTAAGGTGTGTTTTTTTAAATAGCACACGATATTTCAATTCATGTATGTCAATAAATAAATTTGAAAGTAAATGCAAAGTATCATTTGCATTGCGTATATATTAAATTGGTCATACTATAAAATGTAAGATACTAAAAGTAATAATTTCCTGAAAATCTTGTTCTCAGACTCTCATACATATTCTTGAATTTTTTTTTGGAGTACTCCTAACTAAATTTACTAATTACCCATGAAAACAGACAAATTCCAGATTGTAGTAGTAAATATTTAAAGTTTCTTGACTATTTCTGAAATCAATTTTGATATTCCAGCAGGACTAAGCGGATGAAACAATTAATTTCATCCTTTAGTATTTGTTAGTGCTTCTCCTTCTAGAGAGGCCAAAAGTGCTTTGAATCAGTTTCCCATACGCTGTTGTCATTAATGCCATCTAATTTTAGTGTGTATTTGTCATTGTGAACTAGCAAAACCGCAATGACCACCTTAGAACCATCGTTTAAGTTCCCGTGATAGATTCTGAATGCAAAATTTGAGATTTCATTAGCACAAAACGTGATGTGAATGCAGAGGATATCAGTAAATGAACATTCTGCACCAGAAACTCTCAACAAGCCCCATGCTCCAATTTATGCACACGAGTACTTAATTATGGGAGTGATTCTCTCCCCTCCCCAGTTACTGGTTTACTTAAATAATGCAAATATAAATCTTGCATTTTTCTGTTGATTCCAAAAAAGAAAAAAGGTCAACCATTGAATGTAGATTATAATTGTGTGTCAAAAATTACCTTGCTGAATGGGGGATCCAGTGACATCTGATCCAGCCCTCCAGCTGGGATCTAGAGAGCCCCATCTGTGCACAGAAACATTCTGGTTTTCAATTCTGGCCTTGGCCCTCTTTTGCTGGATCGGACGCCATTCCACTGGGTTCTCGGACCTTCAGTAGCAATTTGTGGCAAAGAGAGGCAGCTGTAGAAAAGAGAGTGTCAACCAGATTCCCTAAAGAAACTCGAAAATAAGACAGAAAGAGACCACCGCCACCTGCAGTTTGGCTGGCATTTGGTAAATTGGAGAACTACCTCCTCAACATGGAGATTCTGTTCTTTACAGCTAAGGCTACTAACCATTCATAGAGCCTGTCCTTTGAATTAATCTTGTATGCTTTTAATCTGATGGTTAGCACAGCCACCTGTCAAGAAGCTGGAACTCTTTGTGCTTGGCACCCTCCCACAACATCCTCTGCTTAGGAGACAGATAGACATGCGTGTGATAAATGGATAATGCCAGTTTACTCATTTGGACTTACCTCTGACTCCTGCTGTCATGCCTTTCGGGGTTTTTATTTTTAGCGTCTGAAAATTATATCCCATGCATTTCACAAGGGAAATCGTAATTGCTAATCTTTTGCCCGTATGTGTTAGCGAAGGATGCTACCGATGTATGATTCGGAGCAGACATTGAAATATATGGAGGAGCAACTTGCAAGGCATGAGCTCGACCCCTTAGAAGGTGGGGCCTTTTGTGTAGAACGCCTGCATATTAACACACCTGCCATCATGAGATCAGAAACTTGCTTTTAAAAAAATCTGTGATTCTGTACCAGCTTTCAGATTCTCCCAAATTCCAGGCCTGGTAAACCACCAGTCCCATTTCTAAAGGTTTACTTTTGTGTAACATTTAAAAACTCCTATTTTTATTGATGTTTTCATGAAACTTTATTTCTGCTTAGTTTGGCAAGTAATCTGCAGCCCCTCCCCCCAAATTTTACGCGTTAAAGATGTAGAACAGACAAGCAGGGAGGGGCTGGCAGAAAGGTGAACACAACATTAATTATTAAATTTGCAAATATAATATAAGTAAGGTTCAGCAACAGAATTTTTATCTCCCTTTTCAAAGCTGGACGCTTAGTGAACAAAGCAAGAATTCTGTTGGAAGCTGGAACAGTAGCACTTTCAGTTTAGTGCTAACTTTACTCTTTTAATTTGACTGTTCAGAAATGTCTGCAGTTCACAGTGGCTGCGTACATTTCCAAATATCATTGGACAGTTCATTTATGGTCACGCTGTCTTTATGTAATAAAAGTTTGGGAGAAAAGAGTGTATAAATTAACATCTCTAAGCATTCACATATTGTCTCAGTGCCCACATCTTTGCAGATTAAACAAGAATTTGAGTGGCACAGGATGGAGGTTCAAACTGAGAACGTCTTGTGCAAATTCTGCACGAGCTAAAATCTGAATTAAATCAGAAACTTTTAGCTCATCCTTCTGACGACTATGCTAGTTCACTCTGTGGTGTTAGTGGGTATCAGATGATGAGCACATCTCCATGTTGAATCAAAAGCCCACTTAACAACTTTCACTTATATTTTTAGTACCTTAAAGAACTCAGAACCCTCACCAGAAGAGGTGATTCAGACCTCGTTTACTGTTAAGAGAATTTGCTCAATATCCCCCCCCCTCTCTTTCCGCAGGCATTTATCAGACGTTGCTTGGCATACCGTAAGGAGGACCGGTTCGATGTTCATCAGCTAGCTAATGATGCTTACCTACTCCCGCACATGAGAAGATCAAATTCTTCAGGAAACTTGCATATGACTGGACTGGCAGCATCTCCCACGCCGCCAATATCCAGCATTATTCCCTACTGAAGCTTCTTAAACATGGAAGGCTTGCATGATATCGTCATGTAGTTTTGCTGCAGCGGACTTTCATCTGAAAGCGTTGGATTAGTGTTTTGACACAAGTTTAACAAATGGGGTGTTCAGACTGTGGCTCTTCTACAAATGCCATTTCTCTGATTGGACTGGATCATGGTCTGTGAAGGGTACATTCATTTCAGACTCTCATATTGGAAACATTGAAGGACAGCATTACCTGTTGCCTCCAAGCAGATGTACTGTGTTTTTAAGACTGAAGAAAATGCGTGTTTTCAGGTTGCCGGGAGGGGAACACTGTAAATAGCCTTTTTAATACTTAACAACACTTTTGGTTGATACTGGAGAGCTCTAATAAGGGTAGTTTTTCATTATTTGAATAAAGAAGAAAATGAATGAAGCACGGAAGAACAGCACAGTGCCTGGACAAAAAGCTAAATAAAGAATCTTTCTTCCCAAGAAGTCAACGTTTCAAAAACCAAAGTAAAAATGAGAGACACAGCTGTGTATTGTTAATTTCTTTGGATAGAAGTGATTTAGTATTCTGGGGGCTGGGGAGAAATCTTTAAAATAACTGTTACGTTGGTTGAATGACTGTATTTCCAAAGGGATAAAAATAGCATTTTAAGTAAGGTAGCAAAAGCTAGTTTGGAAACTAGTTCAATTATTTAAATGGCATTTTGATACTTAGCGGACTTGTCAGCTGATATCTGCTGCCCAGGCTTTTGAAGAGGGATCTACAAAGGCCATGTATGTAACCAAAAGCAAACAGGTCATATTCAATGTTTCTATGCAGGATAATGACAAAATTCCCTTCTAACTGTATTGTAAATTGTTGTACAGAGGTCATATTTTCAGTTTAAAAAATTTCAGCAACTTATTCCTGTACAAATGTTTAAAGTATGGCTTTTCTAATTGGATATTGTATTTTTTTTAAGTCTCATTGAAGGCGCTTTTAATTGCTGCTAAATGATGTTGCTTTTGCTTTTGCAAAAAATAAAAATAAAATAAATCAAATGACCTCCTTAAGGTGCAAGTCAACTGTACGTCCTAGAGAGACTGAAAAGTAGATAATTCATTAACAATCAAGGCATGTAAAACTGATCTGTGTTGGAACTATACAGTGCAGTTCAAGTCAGTTTCCTGAGCTGGAGCACGTTGATAATAGATGTAGAAGTTGTTTATGGTTATTCACGGTTTCTGGAAATTCTGTCTACAAGGTGGGAAGATGTTCCTCTAAAGAGATGTTTCTTGTGGCCTGTACAGATATTTTAAAATGTGAAACATTTTCTAACTGCCTTGTACGGTAGAATCTTTTTTTCAGAATGCAGTATCTCTCCCATACAAGATTCCTTTTACTGTCACATTCATAATGCTGAATACCTGTACGTAACTTTGTCCATGTTGCAGAAAGGAAGGCTGTATTACCACAAGGTTTTTTTCCCCCCATTTAATATTGTACAGTTAAACTGTGGCTCTTGTTTCTGATGTTGCAAGCCATTTTGTTTTCATTGTACATAAGGATACATTAACTGTCTCTTCAAGATGCTGCTGAAATTGTAGAGAATGTAGCCAAAACAGTAATAAAATAATGACAGTTGGAATTTCAAGTAGTTCTCAAGTTATTGCTTTGGATTGAGAAGGGCATTTGCGATAGAACTTTGTTCGTTTTCATATCGGACCACTAAGTTCTGATCTTGGAGGCTGTCCGTATATTATGTGGGAACAATGGAAAAGACACAGTACAAGTGACAAGGGCTATTATTACTTTCCCCATGTTCTACAGTAGTGATGTGTGCATTTTCTTACATTGAGATCTGTGCGTTTCAATGTCACCTGGGACTGTCTGATCCCCTTTCAGCTGACGTGCATGAGACCCACATCTCACATTATTGCAGTTGGGGACAGGAGTCTTTTGCGCAACTTCTCACTTCTAAGTACAGTCATACCTCGGGTTACAGAAGCTTCAGGTTACGTTTTTTCAGGTTACGGACCGCCAAAACCCAGAAGTACTGGAACAGGTGACTTCCATGTTTCAGTGGTTGCGCATGCGCAGAAGCGCTAAATCACACTTTGTGCATGCGCAGAAGCGCTGAATCGCAACCCATGCGTGCACAGACGCACAGCTGCGGGTTGCAAACGTGCATCCCGCACGTATCATGTTCACAACCCGAGCGTCCACTGTACTATGTTTGCTTGGGGGCATATAAAGAAGCCGGATGCTAGGAAATTCAGGAGAGACACAAAGGCAAAATTAAAACAGTGGCATTAGCTTCCATAAGATGAGGTGATGTCTACCAACTTGGATGGTTTTAAAAGAGGTTACACATTTACGGAGGATGAAACTATCACTGGGGACTAGGCATGGTTGCTATAGACTATATTTGCATTGTTTGATTTCAGTGGACTTATAATTTCAATAATCCCATGCTTGAACACCAGATCTACATCTGCATAGATCTCCCTTGCTCTAGTTCATATTGTAATTTTGATGTTTTTGGCTGTGCGGAGATTATGAACCAGTCTTACTTGGAGCTGAATTAAGTTGCAACTATTTTTTTTCTTCTTTTGCATAAATTTTCACTTTGGCTCCATGCAGGATGCACTTCAGAATGCATTGAAGACTTTGTAATAGGAGCAGCAACCCCAAATATCCATTTGCCCCTTCAGTGTGTGTGTCTTTATTTTACCTACAAAAAACAAAAGCAGGGGGTTATAGATCTTTTAAAGATGTATTTCTTGAATTCCCCCACTAATTATCTGAAATGTGCATGTGGTTAATTTGGAACATGCAACCTGAACAGGTATGGATAAAAGGCAGAACACAGGAATCATGACTAGTAGCCACTGGTAGGCTTTAATGCCATGAATTTGTCTAATCCTCAGATAGATGCCATTTGGGCCTGGCATTTTGTTTTGTTGGTTTTTATTTTCCCTATTAGACTAAGTACTTGGTCTCTCATCACTATTTGCCTCAGTTCCTCAAACTGCCTTCCAGCAAAAGTTAGTTCAGTCTCAGGAATATGCCCTCTTCCTCTCTGAAGCAAATATATATATATAAATTTCATTCAGCTTTTCTGCAATCTTTTCATTCTCCTTTAGCATAGTATTAGACTCATTTGTCTTCCAAGGGTCCAACCACGTCTAGCTGATCCCCTGCCACTAATATATTTAAATATTTTGTTGCTGCCGTTCTTCAAGGGGCGCATTGTGCTTTTAGAAAATTCTTTCTTAGCATCGCTTATTGTCTGCTTGCATTCCTTTTGACCAAGTTTGTGTTCCATTTTCTTCACATTTACACATGACTTCCATTTCTTGAAGGAAGACTTCTTGCCTCTAATAGCTTTCATAAATCACGCTGACATCCTCTTGGCCCTGATCTGTGGTATACACTCCAGCTGAGCTTTCTACATTGTGTTTTTAAACAACTCCAAAGCATTTTGGAGTGATTTGACCATCTTGACACTGCCTTTCAACTTTTTACCAGTTCTCCCCATTTTTGAGAGGCTACTTCTTTCGAAGTCACATGCAACCATGTTTCATTTTCTTGGCAACTGACAATTTACTTGGTCCATTTAATTTTATTAAATTTAATACCATTTAATTTAATATCACTTGGTCCATATTCCCAATTTCTTCAGTTTATATCTTGCACCAAGTCCTAGTTGCTTCTCAAGATTAATATCCAGGGTTACCAACCCTCTGGGTCTGTTCCATGGCCAACTATTTCAAAACACAATTGTGTAAGGTACAGGGGATGCGGGTGGCGCTGTGGTCTAAACCACTGAGCCTCTTGGGCTTGCCAATCAGGAGGTAGGTGGTTTGAATCCCTACTACGGGGTGAGCTCCCATTGCTCTGTCCCAGCTCCTGCCAACCTAGCAGTTTGAAAGCACACCAGTGCAAGTAGATAAATAGGTACCGCTGCAGCGGGAAGGTAAACGGCATTTCCGTGCGCTCTGGTTTCCGTCATGGTGTCCCGTTGCGCCAGAAGCAGTTTAGTCCTGCTGGCCACATGACCCGGAAAGCTAGCTGTGGACAAACGTCAGCTCCCTTGGCCTGAAAGCGAGATGAGTGCTGCAACCCCATAGTTGCCTTTGACTGGACTTAACTGTCCAGGGGTCCTTTACCTTTTTACCTGTGCAAGGTACCTATAAATTATGCCTCTTTTTTAAAAAAAAATTAATTGCGTTTCTGATATAATTCCATGTCAACTAAATATGGACAAAAATAATACAATAAGAAAAGAACCTCTGAAATAAAAAAGAGGTTGCAATTTAAGATTTCCAAGAGTAAAACAAAACATTCCTTAGCCGACTTCCTCTCCTCTCCTTCCATGGTTCCCTTAATCTCCTCTCACGTTTCCTTGGTTCACCCCGTCTATCGTAGTAACTATTTTTATAAACTTTAGTTATTTCTTACACTGCTGAAAATCTTACCATCCTGCTAGGTGGATTGTTTGCTTATAGTACTTTTTCATTTATTCAGTAAACAATATCCAGTCCTCCTGAAATTTTACCTCTTTGTCATGACTGGAAGACAACGTCTAGCGAGCCCATGTGAGGGCCATTGAAATCACCCGTCTTTGCAACATTTCCTCTTTGGGCTGCTTCCTTGATTTCATTTGTCTCAAGATCTCTCTGAGTATTTTGATCAGGGGAACAATAGCATGTACCCAATACCAAATCACTCAGAGCCCAGGGTCACCACCCACAACGATTCTGTGGAGGAGACCACCCCTTTGGGGATTTTTAGCTTACAGGACAGAGTGCTCTCTTTGATGTATCGATGGACAGCACATTCTTCCCTGTTTCCTATACAGTTTATATCCAAAGATCACACTGTCCTACTGGTTCTCTCTGTTCTAGTTATGTCCAGTTATGTTTAATATTTCAGTGCTGTTCTCTTAAGACAAAGCACTGCACCCATCTTGGCTCAAGAGACTTCTAGCATTAGCATAGAAACCCTTGTATACAGTGTGTCTCTTTTCCAATGTCTTTGGCTCTCTGAATCGTTATCCTGTGCCCCTTTACTCTCAATGCCTAATTCTACACCTCTCTTATTTATTTTTTCATCATTTCTCCCCCATATTTATCCCAAGGGGGGAGGTTGGTTCTGAACTGGACCCTCCTCAAATCCTGTCAACTTCCCCCCCCCCCACCCATAATCAGTTAAAAAAGCTACTTGGCCACCGTGTTGATTTGAAGAACAAAGAGTCTGGTTCTTATCCTGGTTCATGTGGAGGCCATCTCTTCTCTACAGGCTTCGCTTATCCCAAAATATTCCCCCATGCTGAAAATCCAAACCCTTCCACCTAATACTTTTTTTTTTCAGCCGGAATTCACCGGAACTCAGTTCTGGCACCTCACAGTTGGGTGCCATTGCCATTCTAAGAGAACGAGGGAATCATTCATGGTGAGTTAAAGGAAGGTGAGTTGGTCAATAAAAGGTAAAGGGACTCCTGACCATTAGGTCCAGTTGCGGATTACTCTGGGGTTTCGGCGCTCATCTCGCTTTATTGGCCGAGGGAGCCGGCGTAGAGCTTCCAGGTCATGTGGCCAGTATGACTAAGCCGCTTCTGGCGAATCAGAGCAGCGCACGGAAACGCTGTTTACCTTCCTGCCGGAGTGGTACCTATTTATCTACTTTCACTAGCGTGCTTTTGAACTGCTAGGTTGGCAGGAGCAGGGACCGAGCAACGGGAGCTCACTCCGTCAGGGGGATTTGAACCGCTGACCTTCTGATCGGCAAGTCCTAGGCTCTGTGGTTTAACCCACAGCGCCACCCATGCATTGGTCAATAGGGGGGAACAAAAAGCCCCGAGGAACAATATCCCAATACATTTATTAGAATTACAGTGCCAGAATGTTGTGAAGAAGCTTTTGAGCTCCTCGGACCTCACCAGGCAAGATGTTTTCTTACTTTATTTATTTATTTTATAGCTGCCCCATAAAATAAGTTCTCTGGGCAGCTCACAAAGAGTTCAAGAAACAGTAGGATCTTCAGGGGTGAAGAGGAAAGAGAGAGGGGGTGCTTTTTTTGTTTGCCACAAAACACAATTCCAGCAGCTTTGATGGAATTGTGGTTGCCTTCTTCTCCAAAGGCTATTGATGGTGAATTGTATAATGAGCTGAACTTCAAAGACTCGCTGGGACTACTGAATTTGTTCAGTATGCAAGTCCAGTATTCTGCTAACTGAAAAATGCCTGGACAGAGTATCTGTGTTTCTGCTTGCTCTATAAGTTTGTGAGAATGATCAGCTTCTTGTCAAGTGTTATGTTTTCAGAGCCATCTATATAAGTGGTTGCTGGTTTTTTTAAAAGTGATGGGGACCTCTTTTTTAAAAAAAGGTTTAAGAATTATATTATGCAAGCATGGGAGCTGGGAATTGTCAGAATAACTTGCAAGGTTGCAGGCATCAAGTTGTGGCTCATCAGGTATGGGGTATTGATCCATAAAGGTGATGGCTGCATACTATAAAGGTATCACAGTACCAAGCATTGTACTCTTCTATTTAATTGGAACAATCAGCAGCTTGAGTGGCAGCTCAATTAATCAGTAGAATTGGCAGTGAAATCTCTGATTAATTAAACGCTTAACAAATTTAATACT